AGCACGTTTTCTATGTCCTTATCAACCTACTTCGGCAAACAGGATGCAGAGATTCGAGGCATGTACCACTTGAAGAGCAACTTGCTATATTCCTCTATGCATCTGTTACGGGCCTTTCAATTCGCCACCTTGGTGAATGCTTTCAGCGGTCAAATGAAACGATATCAAAGTATGTATGCTGTTGCTGTCCTGCTATCAAGCTTGATCTTTTTTCAAGGTATTTCAAACGGATTCTTTGCGCATTTTCCTCCCCACCAATATATACGATGTACGTCCGCCTACCCAACGCAGATAGCCCTCCTGCCCCCAAAATCACCCAAAACCCGAAGTTCTTCCCTTTCTTTGTGGACACTATCGGCGCTATCAATGGTACGCACATCACGTGTCATCCCTTTGGCAAGGATCGCCATGCCGCCCAAGATCGCAAGGGCAACTTCTCTCAAAATTGCCTCACTGTGTGTTCGTTCAATCTATCCTTTACCTACATGTTGAGTGGTTGGGAGGGGTCAGCTGCAGATGCCTGTGTCTACCATGATGCTCGCACTACTGACTTCAATATCCCCGAGGGAAAATATTATCTTGCAGATGCTGGATTCGGTTCGTGCGACAAGCTACTAGTCCCATACCGGGGTGTGCGTTACCATCTTGCAGAATGGGGCCAAGCCAACACTTTGTAAGTATTTTTTACTAGTACCGTTTATACTTAGTATCTTCATGTTATTATATAGGCCTCGTAATTGCAAAGAACTGTTCAATTTGCGTCACGCCATGCTCTGAAATGTTGTTGAGTGCATCTTTGGTGTTGTCAAGCGCCAATTCCGCATTCTTCTCCTTCCACCAGAGTACAGCATGGATATACAAGCGCGCATCCCTCCTGCATTGTGTCTCGTGCACAATATTATCCGAGTTCATGATCCGAATGACATGTTGGAGTATCGCAACGTGTTAGATGAGCACCTTTTGGCTGATACCGGAAGCCTTGCTAATGGTCCTCCTACTGAACAAGCACGTACTCATGTGAACCTTTGTCGTGACCAGATTGCTAGTGAGATGTGGGAGGATTACAATGAGGAAAGGATTCGGAGGGGGGAGCAAGCGATCATCGAATCAGCAGTATCATAGTCATATCACGCTCTTCACGGCAGCTACCAGTGTAGTAGAAACACAGTAATATTATACAAGTACATGAACACGACATCATCAAAACGACACGAACATGAAATGAAACAACACGAAATGACACGAACGTAACAATGAAAGCGAAACAATGCGACAAAAGCGAAACAGCACAAATGCGATACAACGAAAGCAGAACTACTTTGAATGCTGCTCTAGAAACAACTTCCTAAGACTGGGTTTCTCAATAGTGAGATAAATGTCAACTATGGCGATGTTGTTCTGGAATTTATTCAAGATGTTCAGTAATTGATGGTCCTCCAGATCCTCATTCTGCAATTGCAGCACCACCTTCTGCCTACACAAAGGGATAGGATCCACTGATCGCGCTAAGGTGTTTGAGGTATTGGCTTCGAAAGCGTTGGTTGCACGCTCAAATGTTGAATTGAGACCGTAGAGATTGGATCCCATCTGCTGGATAGCCAGCGGCATTGTCAGGCGTGCAGATTTCCCCGAATCTCCGGATTTCGTTGAATGTGGGGGGCGGGTAACAAGAGCAAGTGTGCTATCATCATCTTCGGTAGCTTTTCGCTTGCCACAAGCAGTTGATGACAGTGCGCTAGCAAAGACAGATGAATCAAGGGGGGGTTGCTGTGCAGCATTAAACAGTGTGTTGCCGGTGGGGCCTATGACATTTGAGCTTGCACGTTGATCAGCCACAGTAGTACCACTGAACTCGAGTGTATTGAGCGCATCTCCAAGGTCTGTCATATGAACTTCGTCGAAGGAAGGGGAGGTGACCGTGCTGCTGGAATTTGAAGGAATGTTGGTGCCTTGCGTCGCCATGGTGGGAAAGAAGGAGTTGTTGTTGCCTGTCTTGACCGGTACAACATCTTTCAACGACTCATAATGCTTCCAACCTCTGTCTCTGAGGCCTTTGGCCTTTGGGTTTTTCTATCAGTACATAGTAATTAGCCTTATCATAGTAGTGTGATGCAAATTTACCTTGACGAAATCAGTCCACATATTTTCCGACTCTGGAGTGATTGCCGCCCCATGTTCCATGCTGTAAGATAGCCCAGAAGCGCTGACCACTTTGTCGACTACAGTAAAAGTAGCTCAGAGCTAAAACTTGTTCATCAGTGAAGATCTGACCAAGGGTGATATAGTACATACCCACCCCCATTTTGATTGACATGCACTCGCCGTCTTCTTTGCACCTGAGTAAGGGTGTTTCGCCAATTCAGCAGCAGCAGCGACCCAGAATGTGTTATCAAAGTTCATGCCATCACCACCTTGTGAACGGTTGATGACGATATACTCAATGAGCAGAGTTTCATCCCCTTCTGTCCACAAACACTGATCCTTTGATTCTGTCGGCTCCACACCACCACGAGCACTTTTTCGACTGCGCGACGCTGACATCCTATAACAATTGCAGCGATGGATGGATTGTTGTCGAGTAACAGGCATACTGCACTCGCCCAGTGACCAAGAACTGATTGAAGCCGGTCACACTGTGACCAGCCAGCAAAGCATGATTATGAAAGCCGAATTTTCTGTAATCCAAATTCTAACTTGCGTAAATAAGAGTCGCTGAACAGACTCTAAGTTACTCAGATTGAATAAATAAGAGATATATATCAATGTCACAACAACAGACAGATATTGAAAATAAGCGCATATTCAAGGGGTAAAGTTATAGGTCAAAAGAAAGACAAACAAATCAAAGGGATGTGGTACATGCAGTTAAGCGCAGTCATTACACTAGCCCCCCCACAGATGCTCCCTGGTCCTTGGTAGTATCCTCCACTGCCCTGCTCAGCCATCATCAGTGAACTGCTGGAGACCTGGGAAGGGCATATATTCCATCATATAATCAATAATCACCAGCATCTGTATAATTCTGCTATGAGTTATCACAATGTCATACTTAGCTTTATAGTTGAAAGATGAGTTTTTAATCAACGTGCACAATTTTGCAAATTGCCAAAAAGTCATAGACTAGTTTCACTCCAAATCACATTGTAGATGTAGCAAAAGCTAATGGTCTGTCTCAATGATTCACTGCCCCCACTTCAGGACCAACGTCTACTATTTGGACGGTAAGGCCAGAAGCCAGTATCTTGCGGTCACCAATACTCTGTGCGCCAATCACACAAGAACTAAGTTATACAAACCTTTGTGTTTTTTGACCGTATGTTTTGAATGTGCAATTTTGGTCAGTGGAGTGTCATTGGATACTCCATATGAAATTGCTTTAGATTTACATCAACAACACATTTCCATGGCATAGTTACTTCACTAGAGGATTGCCAATAGTAGGTCTTGGTTGACCTTAGCACCCCATTTTCCATTTGATTCACGTCTTATCTACTGTGCAATCACCAGTAAAGTTGAATGTGTTTTGCCGCACTACAGTACAATTTTGGAGTGGGCATAGACAAGGTAAATATCTTGACTCTCCCATGTATAATGAGTGGGGCTGTGATGTCGCTATATTCAACCATTGCTGCGACCTCGCAGACCTACAATTTTATTTATTCTCACCTCATTATCTGTGAAATTGGTGGTCTGTGTGCCCTGCTGAAGTAATTGTTTGTGTGGGCATTTGGGAGCCTTGGTTATTCCATTTGTCGATGGGACAAATATTTCATCGCTGTGCAATCCTAGGCGTTGGTGCCAACCTCCCAATAAGTGAGAAATTGACTTAGAAGTCTGCAGATGAAAGATCATATCCCAACTACCTCATGTGTCAACTGCATTTTGTATCATTACACATTGACAAATCTCGCCTGTGAATAGGAATGGTGCGTCGAGAATTTTGTCATCACACTAATACATATTTCCTGTGTGCGACCTGAATGAGGCTAGGCAGTACATAAATACATATTATGGTGCTGCATTTTATATAATCACATGTCAACAAATCTCACCTGCGAATAGGAATGGTGTGTCAAGAATTTTGTCACTGTGCTAATACACATTCCTTCCACATATCACCATTCTTGCGCTACTTCCCCTCTCCTTGCACCTCCATACTTTCCATCTGTAGATAGGAATGATGAGTAGGATGATATCACTTCGGATTTGTACAATATTTTCTCTTTTTATAGGAATGAAGTCCATGACATACATGTATCACCACAGTCTTGCTGCTTTTTGTGACTTCTTGAGTCCATACTCACTGTCTGTGATGTGAACGGTGAGCAGCAAATACGGATATCACCACTTCCATGCTGTATATCCACAATTCAGATGTTCAAACTATATACACATGGATCTGACATCTCCAGCCTCAGTTACATCATTCATAATACGTCCATGAATTAATAAGATTGTAAGCATGGCTCTCTCCCATAGCGCAAGGGCAAATAGTATATCTAAGCCTAGTGATCCAAGGCCTGAGAATAATATATCACATCTCAGACACATTATACAGCACCAGAGGGAGCTTCACACTACACAAGCATTTTGAAAATCATCACATTAAGAACAGCAAACTGCAACTACATTAATTAGGTATACTTGATTGTCCAGATGTCTAAGAAAATGACGGTTAAGGTGATATCAAAAATACCAAGGTAGTAGACGTCGCAAAGTAGCTGGCATGAGAAAAAAATCAGTCTGAATCAAAAGTGGCATCATCCATTTGCACTCGTTGCCTGGCTAGCACATTTACGGACATCTTAGCCTTCGCCCCATCACTGAGTTCTGCACAACAACTTGTTCCAAAGACCTTCCTGACTCGGAGAGACAGAAATTAGTTGAGGACTGTTAAGCATGTGAACAACGCACCTTGTCCACCATGTCAGGAGTTGCTCAACTTTTTGGTGTGCTGCGCAACCAGGGGGCCGTTCAAAAAAGTCTACGATGGTTTGCCAAAATGGGATGTAGTCGAAATCACCATCGATAGAGTGCCATGAGGTCACAGAAGAAAGGGCGAATTGCAGCTAGTTACCCAATATTAGTGCTTGGCAAGGAATTAGACAAAGCCTCTATTACTTACTTGACATGACACATAGGCAATTGAACAGGGAGTGACTTTATGCATCTTGATTATTTGCACTACGTGTGTCTTAACTTTCTTGCCAGAATACAAATCCTTATTGACGCGTTGGTTATTAGCAATAATATCGGCCTCATTACCTTCATCCGCGACCTCCTTGGCAGAGGAGGAAGACGTGAATATAGCTTTGAAAACCTGCTAAATGTTAGATCTTTGTTGAGCTCTAAACCGGATATGACAAACCTGAACTAAAAGACTGCTCTTGCAGAGGCCCTCCTCCAGATTGTCCTGATCAGCCATGTACTTTTCATACAGGAAAGCTGGCCAGGACATTTCCGTCACGACATAGCCGTCTGCACGATCCCTGATTCCTGTTCTGACACTGGTAGACAGTCAGTATGATGAAAAAAGTTGAATAAGATAGTTACATTGGGTTGCTCCCAGCTCAGTTGGGCAAAGTAGTCTACCACATGCATCATTGATGAATCTGCGACAGCTTTTGTCATCAGGGTCAACTGGGGGATTAGGTTTCAGTTCACGATTAACCCAGTCAGCAACGAGGCTCTTGAGCTTCAAGGTGTCATCTCCTCGAGCACCATCAGCCCCCTTCCGACCACCTCCACCCCATCCATCCTCCACTCCGACCAATCACAGTCCACATCTGCTCCTACACTTCCGCTCGACCGCCCAACTGGTCACCTTCTAGAACATCTCCACTCAACTGAAACCACTTTCCCCTTTTAGATATATACCTTCCCCTTCGGTACATAGACCCTTACTTCCGGATCACCGGTAACTCCTCTGACCGCTCGATCACTGATCTGACGCGTACATATTGATATCTGCTCCGACTTCTGTCTTCACCTGTGTGAGTACTTACAAACTATATCCTTGGTACATATGTAGCTTTTGTTAGGTACCATGCCGGCTCAGGAGGCAGAGGGGTTGGGGCTTGGCTTCAGCTCTTGCGCTGTGCCCTTAGCCGAGTACGTGCGCCAAATTTGGAGCAGGTCCGACATTGTTCGACGATAGGACGAGTGAACCGCTTAGGTCCGCTTTGAGGGTCAGGAAGTAAGAGCTACTAGCGGTGGGCTGACTAGGAGCAGAGCGGAGAAGGCGGGGAGTGATGCGGAGGGTGGATAGGAGCAGGGGGAATGTTTGGTAGGAGAAGGGAAGGCGGAGGATAATGCGGAGGATGGGAAAAGGGACAAGGGGAATATTGATAGGGGCGGAGGAATAAGAGGGACACTTAGAGCATGGCTCTAAGTCAGAGCGGAGGGTCGGAGGTGACAACAAGTTGAGACTTGTGTCCAGAGGAGGCAAGGTCCTACTGAGAATTCTCACAAGAGGTAACTGCGAGAAGACAAGTAATATTAAGACTGGGGAAAATATCTAAGTACATGATATGTTATATACTTCTATGTATGAGGCAGTGACCAGGATAACTATGTTGTAAAGCTATGTACCAAGGATATAATTTGTAAGTACTTACACAGGTGAAGACATAAGTTGGAGCGGATATCAATATGTATGTGTCGGATCAGTGATTGAGCGGTAATAGGAATTACCAGTGATCCAGAAGTAAGGGTCTATGTACCGAAGGGGAAAGTATATATCTAAAAGGGGAAAGAGGTCCAGTTGAATGGAGATGTTATGGAAGGGGACCGGTTGAGTGGTTGAGCAGAAACGTAGGAGCGGGTGCGGACGATGATTGGACGGAGCGGAGGATGGATGGAGCGGAGGTGATTGGAAAGCGGAGCAGATATTGATATTAGAGCAGTCGGATCAGGTATATGACAGCTTTACAACATAAGTCTCCTAATCACTGCCTCACACTTAGAAGTATATACATATCCTGTACTTAGATATTTTCCCCAGTCTTAATATTACTTGTCTTTTTGCAGTTTCTACTTGTGAGAATTCTCAGTAGGACCTTGCCTCCTCCGGACACAAGTTTCATCTTGTTGTCACCTCCAACTTTCCACTCCGACTTGAAGCCGTGCTCTAAGTCTTCCCCTTTACTTCTCCACCCCTATCAATCATCCCCCTTTGCTCCCATCCACCCTCCACCTTCTCCACTCCACTCCTAGTTGGCCCACCGCTATTAGCACTTACCTCCCGACCCTCAAAGTGGACCAAAGCGGTCCACTCGTCCTATCGTCGGACAACATCAGACCCACTCCAAATTTGGGGCACATACTTGGCTAAGGGCGCAGTGCAAGAGCTGAAGCCAAGCCCCAACCCCTCCACTTCTTGAGCCCAGCACGGTACCTAACACCTGCCCCGATTCCAGCACCTGTAGTTTTTCTCCTAACTTGGTGATTTTTCACCTTTGGCGAGCACCCTCAGATGTCAGCACTGATATTGATTGTGATGATCTTTGGGATTGGGGGAGGTCCTCCACCATGCTTGGCTGGGACATGGATTCAGACTTCCACAGTGAGAAGGGAACGAAATATCAATCAAGCTTACTGGAGGTGAGGATATGAGGCAGGAGGTCCAGATAGGCAAGTTGATGCAGCTCCTGCCACCGTAGCTTTATATGGTTGCTGTCTGACTTGGATGTCAAGAAAGGCAGTTATCAAATAAATATATGTTGGAGTCCATCGAGTCAGTGGGATGATGTGAACTATGAAGTTCTTTGTAGTGAGTGGAAGCACAGTAGCAGAATTGAGTATGGTACTGCCAGTGGCATCAGGACTCAGCAGACTAGTTGTAACAAGCTGTAATGGGCTGTAGCTGTAGCGCTAAGCTATTTAGAGTTAAAATGTATTTTTAATCAGATTCACGGAACCGGGAACCGATTTCGGACTCAAGCGCTACTCATCTTCACTTCATAAATGGAGTGGATTGATCGTTCAAAAATGAGAAAACTTATATTAGAGAATATGGAAGATAGATCTGATTGTGAATGGCAAAGCAAACTGCGTAGTAGAACTACAATAATGCCAGAGGTGCTCTGCAAACCTTAAGCTCACCGTGGGGATAATCAACAGAATATGTAAAGATGTAGGGAAACACCCTGCACAGCACACCATCAGCACATTTCAGGACAAGACCATGCCGATATGCAAAAAGAAAGTTCTCGTCAAGCAAAATTTCTCAGCATCCATGAAACAATTCCTGGCAGCAGTCAAATGAGAGCCTGGTCTGTCTAAAATGGCTCAGTAGCGAAAAATTAAGGTTTTCAAACCTATCTTAGCCATAGGGTAATGTGAACTAGTATGAAGTCCTTTGTAGCAGTGGAAGCACTGGCGGTAACAGTCAAGTACTACAGAATCAAGTTGTAATAGGATATAATGTACATAAACAAACATCATTTTCAATATCATTATTGTGATCTGTTAGGTACCGTGCTGGCTCAGGAAGCAGAGAGGTCAGGGCTTGGCTTCAGCTCTTGTGCTGCGCCCTTAGTCGAGTACGTGCCCCAAATTTGGAGCAGGTCTGACGTTGTCTGACGATAGGACAAGTGGACTGCTTAGGTCCGCTTTGAGGGTCAGGGGGTAAGAGCTACTAGTGGCGGACTGACTAGGAGCGGAGTGGGGAAGATGGAGGATAATGGGGAGGGTGGAAACGAGCTGGGGGAATACTTGATAGGAGCGGAGGAGGTGGAGGATAATGCGGAGGGCGGAAAGGAGCAGGGGGAATACTTGATAGGGGCGGAGAAGTAAAGAGAAGACTTAGAGCACAGCTCTAAGTCAGAGCGGAGGGTCGGAGGTGACAACAAGGTGAAACTTGTGTCCAGAGGAGGCAAGGTCCTACTGAGAATTCTCACAAGTAGTAACTGCGAGAAGACAAGTAATATTAAGACTGGGGAAAATATCTAAGTACAGGATATGTTATATACTTCTATGTATGAGGCAGTGATCAGGATAACTATGTTGTAAAGCTATGTACCAAGGATATAGTTTGTAAGTACTTTACACAGGCGAAGACATAAGTCGGAGTGGATATCGATATGTACACGTCGGATCAGTGATTGAGCGGTAATAGGAATTACTGGTGATCCAGAAGTAAGGGTCTATGTACTGAAGGGGAAAGTATTCATCTAAAAGGAGAAAGAGGTCCACTTGAATGGAGATGTTATGGAAGGGGACTGGTTGGGTGGTCGAGCGGAAGCGTAGGGGTGGATGCAGATGATGATTGGACGGAGTGGAGGATGGATGGAGCAGAGGGGGTTGGAAAGCAGAGTGGATATTAATATTGGAGCGGTTGGATCAGGTATATGACATGATCCCTGACATCTAACAGCGACTAGAAGTGCACCCATTCTGACGTATCAGCAGATTGAATTGAATCCGGAGGTACCGTTCTATAGCAGTGATTCTTCAGAAATGAAATAGGTCATTAAAATAACTCACCTCATTCATTGTTCACCGCCAGTGAAGTCCATCTGACCACCATGACAATTGCGATAAACATAAAATTTGAGTGAGAAAGTTTTGGTAGTGGGCTTTGCCTCTGAGTCTGGCTGGTGGCCAGGCTATTACATAAGCAAACCCTATATAACAGCCATATATACTCCTATAGGCTAAGGTACGGTACCGTCAACTCAACATCAGCAAAAGCAGCTGAGATTTCCTGCAGTTTAAGTGTTAGAAATCAATTCAGTTCACCTGAGACTATACCAAACAGGGAATGTCAGGGATCATAAAACAATAGTTTTTCAATGGGTCCAAACATTGACAAAGCCTCAAGGTCTAAACAGCCAATGGTACAGGTATGGTGACCATATCACGGCCCTGTTTTGAAAGTCTTGTCGTGTCAACGTTCGAACAAGGGAGGAACGAACTCTGCTGTCGGACTGAATACTGCGAGTCCGAAATGCATCCAAACTTTATCATTACTAGTCTGAATGATATGAAAAAAACACATCATACAAAACATGATTATGGTAGTAGTGCCCCCTCAAAACTTGAACTACCCTCCGAGGCGCCCCAGCCTGCACTCGAACCTGATGTAAAATTGAAATGGTTATTATGCTGCAGGTCATACTGCATCAATGGTGGCAGATCACGATGATCCAATGTTTCCTCTCCGTAAGAGTGTGACTCTGGCGGAATGTGGTCATGGTATTCAGGTTGTGGCTGGAAGCCCGAAGGCGTTTCACCACTGTAATAAAAGCCCTGCGAACTGCCATCGGGAACACATGGTGCGTATTGTGCAACCTGAGGGGAATCTACAAATCCATGAGGCTTGGGGTACCACAATGCATTAGACAATGAAGATGAAGACGATGCAAGTGTGTTTTGAGGTGTTAGTGATGGTACTGAGTTGGAAGATGGTGTTGATGCTGAGGTACTCATCACCGATCAGTATAGTTCCAATGAGGAGGATGGGACATATATATTGTATTTCTTGATAGGTGATGCTTCACCTGTGCGAGATCGAAGAGCCTTTCTGTAAACATAGCATCAATATATATATATTTGTGTCTTAGACACACTTACAAGCATTGTTTGTGGTGTGCGGTCATGCGGGGCAAGAACTCACCTTCATCAAGCTCAGGGTTGTCTAAGTATTTTCTCATTGCATTCCGGATCCCAATTGCAACAGGTTGAAACTCATGCGTAGAGAATGGCAGTACATTTTTAGATTTAGATAGCTGGCCTGTTGCAGCATGGCAAATAGCACAATTTAACTAGTGTCAACAGTGCATCAGTATCTGGTGGGTTTTTGACAAACAGACTCACCATAGCACCCGAGAGCTCGTACACGTACCACGATAGGTTCAAGATCCTTGACATTGGGACATCGAGAAAAGGCGAGTTCCTTCCAAACCAAAAACCCTGATGAAAGTTGAAATAGGTGACGGCTGAAAACATGAGAATTTTCCCGCGGTCAACATCCCAGCCATGTAAAAAATAGTTCCGGAGATCGTTTTCGTTCAACATGATGTTTGCATGTGTGGCTACTATGTCTGCCATCTGGTCTTCTTCAAACATATTACCATCAGGCTGGAGGCCAATGTTAGGTACCGTGCTGACTCAAGAGGCAGAGGGGTCGGGGCTTGGCTTCAGCTCTTGCGCTGCACCCTTAGCCGAGTATGTGCCCTGAATTTGGAGCGGGTCTGACGTTGTCCGATGGTAGGACGAGTGGACCACTTGGGTCTGCTTTGGGGGTCAGGGAGTAAGAGCTGCTAGTGGTGGACCAACTAGGAGCGGAGCAGAGAAGGCGGGAACGATGTGGAGGGTGAATAGGAGCAGGGGGAATGTCTGGTGGGAGCGGAGAAGGCGAAGGATAATGTGGAGGATGGAAAAGGGTCAGAGGGGAATATTGGAAGGGGCGGAGAAATAAGGGAGAGACTTAGAGCACGGCTCTAAGTCGGAGTGGAGGGTCGGAGGGTTGGAGGTGACAACAAGCTGAAGCTTGTGTCCAGAGGAGGCAAGGTCCTACTGAGAATTCTCACAAGTAGTAACTGCGAGAAGACAAGTAATATTAAGACTGAGGAAAAATATCTAAGTACATGATATGTTATATACTTCTATGTATGAGGCAGTGACCAGGATAACTATGTAGTAAAGCTATGTACCAAGGATATCATTTGTAAGTACTTTACATAGGAAAGACATAAGTCGGGGCGGATATCAATATGTACGCGTCGGATCAGTGATCGAGCGGTAATAGGAATTACCGGTGATCCGGAAGTAATGGTCTAAGTACCAAAAAGGAAAGCATATATCTAAAAGGGGAAAGAGGTCCAGTTGAATGGAGATGTTATGGGAGGGGACCGGTTGAGCGGTAGAGCAGAGCAGATACAAACGATGATCAGGCGGAGCGGAGGATGAATGGAGTGGAGGGGGTCGGAAAGTGGAGTGGATATTGATATTAGGGTGGTCGGATCAGGTATATGACAGCCAAGAGCCAAGAGGTAGTTCTTGGCTTCCTGAACCAATTTTCCCCGTAAGTTTGATAGTTCATCCAATATAAGCTTGATGGATCCAGTAGTAGGTGGAGTAACTATATATGAATAAATATGCATTCATATCAATGCAAAAAAATATGTATGGTGGCCGCTCCTCGCGCATGCTGAGGAGAGGCACTCCATAGCGATGGCCTCTAGTGTGCTGTGATCATCCTCCCAGCCAGTTTCAAGTAGCATATCAAGCACCGCGAGTTTTTGTGCATGGTAGATATTGCATTTGTCGTTCTCGCTGTAGAATCCCATTCTTGTGGAATTTATTACGCCCAGCTTTGAGCCATGCTTTGCATGTTGTGAATGGTTGCTGTCGTCACCGAGGTCATCCAGTGACATAGTGCTCACTGAAGCCCTCGACGATGTTCACTGGCTGGAGGTGTGTGAGGATGGAATTGTATATGGTCTAAGGCATTCTTGCGCCAGTCCGAGTCGACGAGAAGGCTGACTCTCATGCTGCTGCTGCAATTTGTCGAAATTGTAAGCATTGAACTGAGAACACATTGAAGCAAGGCATACTACGTACTTGTATCATACTGGTGTTATCAGAAATGCGATGTTCCATTGTGATTCCTGAGTTTGACTCATTCAGGCTTGCGGCTTGGAACAGTGCTACTGTGACCATCGGTTGAAATGAGGGGATTAATCCTCCAGTGAGTCCATGATGTGCGTCAACTTGAACACCACCATGACTGGCAGGTTCGGAGTCACCAGCCTGAGAGGTACTACTAGTACGCCCATATTTGCATCCACCCTGGCCACTGCCAGCGCGAGGCATTCAATAGTGGTAGTGGTGGTGGTGGTAGTGTTAGAGATGATTGTAAGTTGAATCACCCGATCAAGTGAAACCTGCACTCACCTTTAAATAAAGCATAGTCAAGGCTGGTTCAGCCTGTTCATGGGGGTAGTGGTAGACAAATGAGCAGCTCCGAGTCAAATTCAAAGTGAACTTGCGGCAGGCACTCCATCGATCGCAGCACGAGGCATGACTCTCGTACAGTGATTAATTTGAGGGTTCTCTGCAATATTTTAGGCTGACTCTCATTCTAGACTGATGAGATCATGATTATGGGATGATAGTCAAGGTAAGACTCAGAGTCAGCCGCCGCATCAGAAGACACAGGAAATACATTCAAATTCGCATAATCGTACTGCAAGAACTAGTAGTGGTACTACAAAAGACTACATATGTACATATGTAATCTATAAACAGTTAGATAGAGTAATTGAACTCAAGGATTCAATTGAATGGTGGAGTTGCTTGTTAGTAATTGTGACTCCTCACGCCTCAGCTGCCCCCCACTTGTCATCAACACCGCCATCGCATCCAGAAGAGACCGAAGAGTGGTAAGGGTCACTGCTGTCATCAGCCTTGTGGTCTCGGCAACCAGGGAACAACCTGCTATTTCCGAGATCCTTCTTGGCGTCTTTTCTCCCTTTGCTCCCTATTACTGCCACTCCTGCATCGTAGAGGCTGTTCCAAAGTGAGCCTATTTGTAAATCGGTCTCAGTCAGATGCGCCTGGGACTCCTCCATTTCATCCTTCATGAGGGACATCATTAGTTCTAGTTCTTCAGCACATAGACGCTGGTATTCCATCTTGGCGGTGAAAGTCCGGCAGCTGACACAAGAGAGCTCAAGCATGCAGCTGGTTGAAATAAATTTCTGAATCAGAGGATTGATCACAAGTGAACTAAAAGACATCAGTTTTGAAATGCATTCAGATTAGGGTGACATACTGATGTAAACAGCTTGGATTTCTTTGTGTGAACATTCTTGCAGTCATCAAGTTCATCACCTGACAGTATGCTATACTGGTATGGCCTCTTGTGAGAACCATATCTGTGGGCTACTATGGGGTTACCCTCATTGGACATGGTGGTCAAGAGAAATGGAGCCTTTGCAGTGGGAGAGTTGCCCCTCAGGATAGGCGAGCTACTTGGTATGGGGGAGCTACTCCTCAGTATAGCAGAGCTAGTAGGTGCCTCAAATACAGGAGGCAGTGATCCAGTAGTGGATACTCTGAGAAGCCTTAGTCAATACCCATGCTACATAGCTCATATTAAACAGACCTAGGTTTGGTTGGGGTCACTGGGGAAGTAGCCCTCAAGCATGAAGAGGTATAGCTCTTCAAAATGGGAGCAGACACTTCGGATGTGGAAGGCTGAACACTAGAGTTCATAGTATGAATGGCCCCTCATGTGATACACAAATGGCCCTTGATGGATAAACATACCTAATATGTTTATTTGGGGTCACTGGGGGACTAGCTCTTAAGCTGGAAGAGTTACTCTTCAAAATGGGAGAGCTATTAGGTGCCTCAGACGTGGGAGGTGATGAGACACTGGAGTATGTAATCAGTGAATCAAACACTCAAGTAAAGTGGTTTCTAATAAAATCAGACCTAGCCTTTAAGCTGGAAGAGCTACTCTTTGAAATGGGAGAGCTATTAGGCACCTCAGACGTGGGAGGTGACAATTCAGAAATACTGGAATGCAATGCATAGTGAGTCAGTTACAGTGAATGGGCCACTCGGGCAAGATAGCTCCTGATAATAAACAGACCTCTTGAAGGACCTAGTGCTCCCTGACACAACTGAACTGCTAGTGCTGCTTGTGCAAGGCATAAAACTGTTGAACAGCATGCAAGGGTACATGCTTCAAGTTGTTGGTGAACTTCTACCTGGTTCTCAGCGAATCAACAAATAGAAAACTCACACAAGTGTCACCATTGGGCAAAATTTTTCACTAAGTCCAGTGATGCTCCGCAATGAGCCCCATGACGGTATCAGAGTTCTTGTTCACAGTAACTTGATTTGACCTGCAGAACTAAGCCTGGTACTACTGACACTCAGTACTCAGGAGGTGGGTGCTTGAGCTATTAGTGGAACTCAAAATACAATTTGAAACTGTTGAAAGCTTGCCTAGAAACCTGCTAAATGCTTTCAACTCGCGGCTAAAGTTCAAAAGAACTTGTGTGAGATGCTTGGTGCACGTTGGCGCACAGTTGGACTTTCAAACAATACTTGTAATTTTCAAAGTGTGGGAAACTAGTAGAGTAGGGGAACATACTTTGTATTTCAAATGACAGTGTTGGTAAAATTACTTGAAATGCTATAAGTATACCTAAACATCATGTAACTACATTATATAGTGAGTTAGTTTATTCGCCTATGTCTCAGACTTACACAAATCCATGTTGCTGACGAGCCTATTATGTACAGTATAAGCAGACTGCAATCCATGTGGTTCAAATTTCTTTGGATCTTGTTCCTTATTCTTTTGATGGTGTCCTGTGGTGCTCGAGGTTGTTCATGGAACAAGGCAATGGACTCTACCTGAGGACTTAGTAGGCATCGTGCAAGTTGTCATTTTTTCAAGATGTCCAGCATCCTTGCAAGCCAAAAGAGAGTCCAACGAGCTAGGGATGCGACATTGGTGAATTTAGTTCCAAAATTGTCAGTAAATGCATCACAAGTGAGTGGTCATTTACAGTGAAGTGCACTCAAGAGAAGCAACTTGAACTCATGTGTGTAGAAATCATTACCGGCAAGACTCCCCAGGCATGCAGTGAGGGTCTATCCAAGATCAAATGCTCCTCGCAAACCTTCTGCAGCTCGTATGTTATTTGATCCTCCCAGTCCCGGGCCCTCGCAGCTCCCCCTTGATGCAGACGCAAACTTAGAAAGGGGAGAAAGTTGTTGTCCCACTACCATGGACTTGGAAATGAACTTAGAGGGCCTGTTAAGACCGTGCTCAAGGGTAAAGTGGAGTCTGAGGGGCTTGGCTTCAGCTCGTACGCTGTGCCCCTTACCCGAAGTACGTGCCCCTAATTTCGGAATGTAGTCCGACACAAATTCTATGGGTTCCGACAGGACGTTGGAACGGGGTCCTCTGAAGGAGGACCGACGGACTACTAGGTGAGTGCGGGAAAGTCAGGCGGGGGTTGTTCTGCCCGACAGGAGGGAAGCGGGAGACTACTGTGGTCGGAACCAACAGTAAAAGCGGAGCGGAGGGAACTGCTTGAATGAAGTCTGAAGCAGAGCGGAATGGAGGGGATGATGTGAGAGTGTGGGGTCTAGTTCTGACACACGGGAAGTTGGATGAGCGGAGGGGACGGGGGAATGGGGGAACGGGGGGAATGGGGGAACGGGGGAACGGGGGAACGGGGGAACGGGGGAACGGGGGAACGGGGGAACGGGGGAACGGGGAACGGGGGAACGGGGGAACGGGGGAGGGGGAACGGGGGAACGGGGGAACGGGGGAACGGGGGAACGGGGGAACGGGGGAACGGGGGAACGGGGAACGGGGGGAACGGGGAACGGGGGAACGGGGGAACGGGGGAACGGGGGAACGGGGGAACGGGGGAACGGGGAACGGGGGAACGGGGGAACAGAGGAATGGGGGAACGAGGAGCAGAGGAACAGGGGAATGGAGGATGGCCAACCTAGGGAGTCAATCCCCTAGGCCGGCTTAACAGGAGTTGACTTAGGATCAGGCCCAAGTCAAAGAGCAGAAGAGCAGGGCTTAGAAAAGGTAATATTCAGACTGAGTATCTACAGACAAATGTACATATGTTTATATACTCTAAGTGATGAACATAGCATAGCAGAAGGCTATGTGCTGAGTGTACAGGATTACAACAGGATGACTGAGACATATGAGAATAAGGCTTGGGGAACAGTATGTACATGACAGATCAGAATCGCTAGAGTATAGGGATTACCGGTGATCCGAAAAGCAGAACTATGATACTAAACAGGGATAGGACCAGTTGAGTGGTTCCTAGTCTAGGAGTGGACCGATGAGGCGGTTGGATGGACTAATAGTCGGGTGGGACAAGATGAGCAGAACCAAGCAGGTCGGAAAAGCAGGAGGGAGTAGGAGTAGGATTGGGTGGACCGATAGGGTGGAGGAGCGGAACCCCAGATAGGGTCGGATGGAAGGGGTATGGGGTCGGGGGACATAGGGGTAGTGTCAGAAAAGCGGAATGGGGTCAGGCAGAGGTAGCAGGGCTAATCCTGCTGAGATGCACTTTGTGCATTGTCGGAGAAGGAGGAATGGAGCAGACTGGGGAAACAGGGGGTCGGACCAGGGGTAGGGATGCTTATAGGTGGTACTCAGATCCAGGTATATGACAGGGCCCCAACTTTGGAAATGGATCTGAGCCGCATGTCTTATGTAGGCCTGTTTTAGCCCCTGGATCTGGATGTTGCTAATGATTGCTCGACTTTAGCAGCACCCACACTTCCTAGGAGAAGGATTTCCAGGCCTTTCGATGATATTGAGCATCTAGCTGAGGACCTGAATGCCTCTAATGATGTTGATGATGTCCCCAGGCCATCACTCCCACACCAGAAAAAAATTTGACGAATCATTTTAACACTATGGGACACCATCTAGACTGCCTTTAATTCATTTGGACTCAGTTGACTGTACCCTCGTTGTCCTTCCTTCGAACCCGATAAATTTATTCCATCTGGATTACTCACAAGAACATGTCCAACAGCAGTTCAAGGAGCAGACTCCCTGGGCCTCAGGCTGCCCGATGTCTTGCCTCCACCCTACCCCTTCCCCAATATGTCCATTTATTGGCTTGTATCCTGGATGAATTCAGGCAGCCACAGGAAATCAGAAATGGAGATCCAGCGTCTTGTTAAAGATGTTTTACAGGCCGATGATTTTGACTGTTAAGGATCTTGAGGGCTTCTCGGTGAGAAGGAGCTTGCAAGAATTGGATAAGGATGAGTGTGGGAAGAGAATTGCATTTCAGATGATTGGGTTGAGGCTGACATTACTATCAACATTCCGATGAAGTCCACCAAGGAAGGCCCTAAAGAATATACTATTTGTGGACTCCACTATTGCCCTCTAGTCAAAGTAATCCGCACAGCATTCACGGATGTCCAAGCCTGTGCGTTCCATCTCTTGCCCTTCAAACAACTATGGAAGGATCCATTGGACGGCCATCAGGAGCGCATATTTGATGAGCTCTACACCTCAGATTCATGGCTGGAGGCTCAGGACGATCTCCAAAAGTTGCCAAAGGAGCCTAATTGTTCCTTGGAGCAGGTTATAGCAGGACTTATGTTCTTTTCTGATGCAACTCACCTAGTGAACTTTGGAACCACAAAAGCCTGGCCGCTTTACCTCTATTTTGGAAACCTGACAAAGTACACTCAATTGTTACCTCAATCAGGGGCATGTCACCCCATTGGGTTCTTGCCTTCAGTGAGTCCTCCTTGTGCATATGCCTATCAACTGGTTATTGATACTGATGGCCTTGTTAGCTTCCCAATGGTATCAAAGATATTTTGAGTGGCCTATCGCACATATCAAAAACTGGCATGGCATCACTTCATACTCACTGCTGCCAGGAATTGTTTCATGGATGCTGGGAAATATTGCTTGACTGAGGACTTTCTTTTTGCATATTGGCATGGTCTTGTCCTGAAATGTGCTGATGGTGTGCTGCACAGGGTGTTTCCCCGCATCTTTACATATTCTGCTGATTACCCTGAGAAGTACTTTCGCTTTGCCTTCATTAGTAAAGTTGTCAGATCGCTCATCAAATTCCATGGTTTTAATTGCGACCATCAAAGATATGGGCTCATGCGCTTGCCCTCACTGTCTCACCCCAAAAAGCTTGTTTGGCTCTCTCGGTCTCGTCAAGGACATGTGGAGTTGTATACAAAATCTACGTATATATGCTATGACAAAGGTCCTCAAGGCTCGTGAGTATATCTACAAGTGGGGGAATATGGTAGACAGTTTGAAGGTTGAAGATGCCCTTGGCGAGGGTTCATGGGTACCCACTCTTGTAAGTGCATATAGATCCTTCCAGTTACCTGCAGAATCGATTTGTGCAGAAGCTTGGACTGTTCAGCCTCGACCCCTTCCGCATGCTCATGGTCGACTTCATGCATGAATGTGAGTTGGGTACTTGGAAAGTGCTACTAACCCACCTCATCAGGCTTTTGTATGCTCTTCCTAACGGTAGTCAGCTAGTTGCAGCCCTTGATTGCAGGTAGGCAGAATTTGCCCAGAGTTTTATTACTTGCTAACAATTCTCGATCTCCCCATAGATTTTGCCAGGTTCCAATCTTTCGCAATGGCATACTCCAAAAGTTCGCAAACAATACTTCTGAGATGAAAAGGTTAGCAGCATGGGACTTTGAAAATATCTTACAGGTTTTTGCATGACTCATTTTTATGCATTCGCCTTGCTAACATGTTCTCTGTTATCAGTGTGCTATCCTGGTTTTTGAAGGGCTGTTCCCTGTGGAACATGATATAGTTGTGCAGTCTTTGCTGTATCGGTTTGCGCAGTGGCATGCACTTGCCAAGCTCAGGATGCACTCAGACTCTATGGGGACTTTTCTCGAAGATACATTTAAGAAACTCTCTTGGAAGTTGCGGAAATTTCAATGTGACACCTGCACTACCTTCAATACTACAGAGTTACCGAAAGAGAAAGTGGCTTGACAATGAAGGTTCACTCAACAGAGAAAAAAAATTCAATCTCAACACATACAAATTTCATGTGATGACGGATTATGCAAGATCTATCTGATTCTTCAGGACTATGGATTCCTTCAGTACTCAAATGGTATGTATATATTGTATTTCCACTATCTATGGAAGTTGAATTCGGCCAGGGGGAACTTGCACACAGAGCTCTCAAGGCATTTTACCCATTAACCAACAAATTGGACACCCTGACGCAGTTAGCTAAGCACAAACAAAGGTGCTGTGTACTTCGACGGGTTGCGGAAGAAGGAGGCACATCTTCTGACAGCCTATCACCTGCTGACGCTCCCCCTTCAACATCCTCCAACGTACATCACCATATCGCAACCAATAGGGATAGTCCAATCAATCAATCCCAATTCCTTTAAGATCATGGTGGTGATCCGGCAGTCAAGGTAGACATGCAGCGGGAATGCACCTTACACTTTTCTTACAACTATTATCAGAACTTTATCCCGAAACTCAAGGACCACATCCTTTACTGGCTGCGGAAGCTGGATATCAGCTATTGTGATCACAATTCGGTTATTATTCCTAATAATATGATCTATTTGGTCCAAACTATGCAGGTATACTACACCACATATGACCTCAGGTGAGAATATGACACCATCAGCCCTAGAACACACACTGATATTATGGTACTTTCGGGGGAGATGACACCTAATCACCCATACTGGTATGCCCACATATTGGGTATTTACCATATGGAAACTTGGATCAACAATGGAGTCCAACCTGATCGGCAGCACCTCGAGTTTCTCTGGGTCAGGTGGCTTGCACCATTGCGGAATCACAAATCCAGTATGAAACACGCTCGCCTTCCGAAAGTTGCATTTGTAGATGAATCAGACCCTGACACATTTGGGTTTCTCGATCCGGGGCAGGTGGTTTGCAGGGCTCACCTAATTCCTGCGTTTGTCTCAGAGCGTGGTACAAGCTTACTTCAGTGTGGAAAATCATTAGTGCACCTGTCATATACCAGATCCGAGTACCCCCAGTACCACCTATAAGCATCCCTACTGCTGGTTCGACCCCCTGTTTCCCCATCTGCTCCATTCCTCCTTCTCCAACAAAGCATGAAGTGCATCTCAGCAAGATTAGCCCTGCTACATCTGCCCGACCCTGTTCCGCTCCTCCAACACTACCCCTATGTCCTCTGACACCATACCCCTTCCATCCGACCCTATCTGGGGTTCCGCTCCTCCACCCTATCGGTCCGCCCAATCCTACTCCTACTCCCTCCGCTTTTCCGACCTGCTTGGTTCTGCTCATCTTGTCCCACCCGACTATTAGTCCATCCAACCGCCTCATCGGTCCACTCCTAGACTAGGAACCACTCAACTGGTCCTATCCCTGTTTAGTATCATAGTTCTGCTTTTCGGATCACCAGTAATCCCTATACTCTAGCGATTCTGATCTGTTGTGTACATACTGTTCCCCGAGCCTTATTCTCATATGTCTCAGTCATCCTGTTGTAATCCTGTACACTCAGCACATAGCCTTCTGCTATGCTATGCTCATCACTTAGAGTATATAAACATATGTACATTTGTCTGTAGATACTCAGTCTGAATATTACCTTTTCTAAGCCCTGCTCTTCTGCTCTTTGACTTGGGCCTGATCCTAAGTCAACTCCTGTTAAGCCGGCCTAGGGGATTGACTCCCTAGGTTGGCCATCCTCCAATCCTCTGTTCCCCCGTTTCCCACATTCCCTCAGTTCCCCCGCTCCCCCGTTCCTCCGTTCCTCCGTCCCTCTGCTCCTCCGACTTCCCAGTGTGTCGGAACTAGACCCCACACTCTCACATCCGTCCCCTCCTGTTCCGCTCTGCTTTGGACTTCGTCCAAAGCAGTTCCTTCCTGCTCTGCTTCTACTGTTGGTTCCGACCGCAGTAGTCTCCCGCTTCCCTCCTGTCGGGCAGAACAATCCCCGCCCGACTTTCCCGTGCTCACCTAGTAGTCCATTGGTCCTCCTTCAGAGGACCCCCATTCCGATGTCCTGTTGGAACCCATAGAATTCATGTTGGACTACATTCCGAAATTAGGGGCACATACTCGGGTAAGGGGCAGCAGCATACGAGCTGAAGCCAAGCCCCTCAGACTCCACTTTACCCCTAAGCATGGTCTTAACAGCGCCCTGGGGGGGAGCTGGACAACTGGGAAGAGCATTATGTCAGCATGTGAGTGTCAATATTCTGTCTAACAGTGCCGTCAACTCATGAATTTAGGTCAGATTTGTGGACTGAGATATGTTCATGTGCTACACCCAAATTGGTGTCAGGCATCCAGTGATGCTGCGGAGGATGACTAGGGAATGTCTTAGCTGTGATCTAGTAGCACCGGATGATGCCATGGATGTCAGTCAACAGTGATGCAGACCACAGGTGACAATGATGGTGATGGTGAGGGTCATCAAGAAGGTAATGATGAGCAGGAGGCAGATGATGATGATGATGATGATGATGATGATGAAGATGATGAGGAGGATAGGAGAGATGAGGAGGACATGTTGGATGACCTTCCTTTTTTAAAAAAGTCAGAATTGCCTCTACTTATTACTAGTACATCATGATCTTCAAGTTCTACTCTATTGCTTCGACTCCTCTAGTAAGAGATTACCGACTTGGACTCGTCTTTTTCTGACTTGGAAGTCAGCCCAGGTGTCTTGCAGTGAGGCCAGGACGATGGCACCATTTTCAAACTCCTCCACCACTGGCAGAACTTCGAGTCCTACTAGTACTCTCTAACAAGTTGGTACTATTGTTGACATCCTTTGCAGATGATGGATGCTCTTCGGCTTAGGCTATAATCAAGCCGTTCTCCGTGACAAGGAAATTCCATCTGTCCATCTTTCTCTACCTCTCCTCACCACCAAACTTCTACAAGCTGCAAAAGAGCATTATGTGCATGTGAGCCCTCATTTAGCTAATAAAGAGCTGGAGGTAGAGTCAATTCAAGTCAGCATAGCCACTAGAGAAGATCTCAGTGCTCACCGTCGGGCTCTTGTTGATTGTGGATGGGCTTGGGGCAAAATGGGCAAGGTCTTTGGGCATTACAGAGTCTTGATGCTTCAAGTTTTGATGGTCAAGGTGTGCTACTATACTTTTTTTTCTTGGATCACCTATTCACTCAAGCATGATGTGCACGCATCCAGTCCCAGAATCACTCTCAGTGTCACTTCCATCACGTTACGTTTGCATCCACGACTCCGTATTCCAATGCGCATTATATGTGAATTTTTGCTCATCGACACTGTCTTTCCAGGCATATGGTAATATCACAACCTACAAAAATGTCGATGACCCGAAGCCACAGACTACCTTGTTTTTGCAAGTTCACTCGGCAACCGGTGGTGGCGGCAAGCTGGTGACGAAGGTCCATGGCGCTGTGTCTGGTTGGCTACTGTATGTGTTAGTCAAGTCTGGCACACCTTCGGACATTTAATTGAGACACCTACCACTACCTACTATTCATTTTTGGTAGTACTTCTTGTTATTTGTGCATCTCACAATGAATTCTTCTATATGATTTTCTAAGGGGCGAACCCATTGAAATGGTACTACTGTGTCTCATAATGATTGTCTCAAGCCAGTGACAGAATTACTCCCTAGTAGTACTTAGTAGCAAGTTGACCATCCGAGAGTCATACTAGTCACGGCTAGTACACTAGCAAGGTCCTTCAACTTGTTGAAGGAGTGCTGGGAGTAGTAAAGACACAAAGTTTCCATAGGATGAAGCCTTGAAAATGTGTGCAATGTCATGCACAGGTGAGGGTATAGCCTGAGTATGAGCATCTTCAATAAAACTGGCACATCTGGAGTAGTGTCTCATGATTGTGGCATGTCATACCATTGTCGAGAACTGGCATGTGCTCTATATTTGTTCGCTGGATGTGAAAGACACTTTCTATCGGAAAGCTTTCAAAAATCATGCAATGTCACACATAGGTGAGGGTATACAAGCATCTTCAATAAAACTGGCGAATATGGAGTAGTGTCTCTTGTCTGGAGTGATGGCAACATGTCATGTTGTTGTTGAGAACTGGCATAATGCTCTAGAATTGTTTGTCAGATGCGAAAACCACTTTCCACCGGAAAGCCTTCAAAAGTCGTGCAATTTCGGTAGCAATATGACGTTGGATTACATAGCCATCCCTACAATCTCAAGGACATGACAAACGAGAACATACATCAAGGTTGAGATAAGTGCGCTGCTATCCATTTGTTCCTGTGATTGCGCTCCCCTACAGTCTCATAACAAACTCCAATTGTACTCCCATATTTCGATATCATTCATATCAAAAAAAAATTTGTATATCTATAGTATTACAGAGCAATAACAAGATTATGCTTTATTACAATAGCCATAGCTACAATACTGAGGACTCAGCGGTTCACTGATGATGTACGAGTTCCAAGGCCAGCCTCAGAGATGCCCTAGCGATGCTCCTACCCACATTAATGCATGCGATTATCAACAACCAGCAGGAGAAACATACCCTCTACAATATAATACACCCCAGTCCCATATATCTCTGCTGAATGTTGGGAACCAAGCGGTGCCACAGTTGCCTCAATGTGATGATTTCTTCAGCCCTGCACCTCAATTTGGCATGGGCAACATGCAGCAGGGCGATCACAGTGGTGTATTGGCTGTAGGGTACTGCACGGGTATGGGTAACCCGCATGGGTCACAGGTATGGGTATCACTGGGGTACGGGTACAGGTCTGGGGTCATGGTACCCATACCCCTACCCATACCCCCACCATGGGTTTCGATAAAAATGGGTGCCATGTGACTGATAAATTTCGACTACCTAAACAAGGAACAGTATAGATGTCATTTACTACAGTATCTACTCATCCATCAACAACTCCCAAGCATTTGTCCCCAGACTGTGCCAACAGCTGTCAATGTGATGGCAACTGGTCGGTTTCGCCCATTCTCACGTGCATTTGGTTGCTTGTGAGTGTTCCTGCTTACCTGCACTCATTTTCACTCATTTTCACTCACTTTAGCTCATTTTTTCATCTCTGTGCACATTCTGCACTTGTTTGCCCATGCCTGCACTTGTTTGCACTCATTCTCACATGCCTTTGATTGCTTGTGAGTGTTCCTGCTTACCTGCACTTGTTTTTACTCATTTTTACTCATTTTAGCTCATTATTTTCATGTCTGTGCACATTCTGCACTCATTTGCCCATGGCTGCGCTCATTTGCGCTCGTTCCTGTGCACATTTTTGCTTTTTCTCGTGTGCTTTTGGTTGCTTGTGAGTGTTCCTGATTACCTGTGCTTATTTTCGCTCATTTTCACTTGTTTTTCATGTCTATGCACACATCTGCACACATTCCCATCCCTCAACCTCGACATCTCAATCGAGGCACCCTGCACCACTCCTCATTCACAATCTGACCCCCCATCTCAGCCCACCTCCTGCAGCCACTCCTTCTCCTATTCTGGTGCCTTCAGGTGCCATTCGCACATGTTCAGGCCATGTCAGCATTCACTGATGTGTGCTGGGCATGTGCGCTAAGCACTGATGGCTGTTGGGATTGGGTGGAGGTAGTACATGCTTGCACACCCATGGGTATACCCTTCATGGGTATGTACCCGCTGCTACCTGTACCTGTACCCGTCACCTACCCGTACCCTTGGCGGGTATGGGTTGACCTCAGGACACCTGCAGGTTTACCCGTGCGGATCCCTAATTGGCTGGCCCTGCATATCAAGATCTGATTCAGTTGAACGATACCCCAGCACTTCATTCCTCCAGCCCACAGCACTCACCGGCACCTCAGGATATGCATCAGCCATCTCCATCTCCCTACCCTTATTTTGGTGCCCACCGGCCACCTCCACAGTCCATGCGCGCTGGTAGTATGCCTCAAAATATCAGCTCTACCCCATCCTCTAGAGGAGAAACACCATACCATACTGGTTCCGGTCATCATCCTTTTACAGGAGGCTCAGGAAGTGAGGTGTCTTTGTGGGCACCCTCTGTTGTTCCTGGAAGTGACAAATATCAAGCTATGATGTTATACTCGATGGCTCAACAGCCTGCTCACCTTCTGCACATGAACCAGAACATGTATTGGCAAAATGGTGCTGCGTTACCAACAGATTTGCATGACCAGTCAACAAATCTCAACACAATGGTTGTGCATCTTGTCACAGAGGTCAAATGACTCACCGACCATGCCCAGCATACTGATAAGCTGCTTTCCACCACAAATGAACACATCCAGAAGCTTGAAGACATCAACGAGTCTTCATCGAAAACGAAAATCCAGAGGCAGTTGAAGAATGTCTCAAATGATCATCCTGCATTAAAGGTAAGCAAAAATGTGTGTGGACATTAGATCATTGAGACTGGCTTACTATCTTCAAATAGCCCATCATCCACATGCAATTTTTTTAATTCTGCGGTGTGGATCAGAGTGGGAAAAAGACCAAACGAGCACATACATTATGAGAGGTTATGCCGCTAAAAAATGGCTGGGCCTATGAGGAGATTGATACCAAGCAGATATGGCATCCAAATTGGATGGGGAATGTAGACGATGAGGTGAATGGACAGTTCATCAAGGAAATCATCAACTTTATTGTGGACAATGAGAAGGTGTGAGCATTTGGTAGCATCTGACATTCATTGACCAACCTTTTTTTGCAGCGCTTGCATAACGGTCCAATCCCAAAATCAGATATCCCAGATGCAGATTTCAATACAGGGATAATCACTGAATGCATGAAGGGGTACTTTAGGAACATCCATCAGCAGGTTTTTAGTCAAAAGGATCCAACAAAGGTGCAGAAAGCACAGGAGTGAAAGGATGAATCACGTCAGTGAGCACATCGTCAGATGGTATGTCTATTTTTGAATCAAGCACAAGACATTTGCTTACCTTCGTTACATGAATAGGTGACCAAGAATCATTGCAAAATAGCAGCCAAATACTCTGAGGGCGAACTTTCTGAAAATACCTTGGAATGGTGAGACAAAGCTGGTGTTGGGAAGTCAGCAAATATGGTTGTTGGGTATGAATGGCGTGGTTTGGGTGTAAGTACCATATTCAAATTTGCAGAAGCATGAAACAAACTGACACAATACCTTGTAGTATGTTGCTTTCTTATGTTTTCTCACTTTAAAATCTATGAAGTCAGATGTGCTTGACAAAGATGAAGATAGCACTCTGAATGGAGATTCAGCATCAGCAGCCACTACAAAAGTAAATCCTACTGAGGGGGAGGCAAACAGCAAGAGGCCATGGAAATGCCACAGGACAACTGCGGGACAACCCAAGAAGCCAATGAAGAGGGTTTTTAACCTTGATCCAACACAGATGAATAGTGACGAGCCAAAGTTGGGGAAAAAAATGAAGCCTTTCAGGAACATGGTTTCTGATTGGTGGATGATTGATCATCCAGATATGCAGGTACTTGATGGTGTGCCCTGGCTGAAAGGTTTCTACACGAGGCTGAATGAGGATGATGTGCTGAAGGAAGACTGGGATTATCTGATGGAACTTGATGAGTGGCACAGGAAGCAGCGCAATGGAGGATTGGGTGAGACTAACAGAAATATTCAAGTTGCAGGCCTGTTGACTCAGGTTTAGCAATTGTGAAAGGTTCCAGTAGTATTTTGTTTGATATGCGAGTCTTGATGAGCCCTGATAGTACCATTGTTACTGTATCACAACCAGATGTGAGATCATGTACTACATAGACTTGAAAAAAAAAACCCGATACCTTGACAATTTTGATTGATGCCCAGACCTTTGTCCTGCTATCTCTGAGAGACATGGTTGTCATATCCAGCTGTCTGACAATCCAATCAGGGTCAATGAGTGGGGGTAGTTGGGTGTCTCGATCCCGGTACTCCCCAAGCTCCCAAAGATGCACACTAGAACATGCACTAGATCATAATATTAGATCACACGACACCATTAAATTGATTAACTCACAAATCAGTCCACACCTTTTCACATTCTCCATCCCATGGGACAAACTAACGCATCCGCACCAACCATAAAGGAGTGTCTTCATGGTGAAACCTTTGGTCAAATTGAAAGATTTTAAGAATCTCACCATATGTATGCTGAGTGGTTGTTGGGCCAGGAATTGTGACATGTACAAAAGAGGAGCAATTGTATCCAGCGGTGCTTGAACCATAATACCGCTTGCCATCAATTATCACATAGTGTTAAGACCGTGCTCAGGGGTAAAGTGGAGTCTCAGGGGCTTGGCTTCAGCTCGTGTGCTGCGCCCCTTACCCGAGTACGTGCCCCTAATTTCGGAATGTAGTCCAACATGAGTTCTATGAGTTCCGACAGGACGTCGGAATGGGGGTCCTCTGAAGGAGGACCGACAGACTACTAGGTGAGTGTGGGAAAGTCAGGCGGGGGTTGTTCCGCCCGACAGGAGGGAGGCAGGAGACTACTGTGGTCAGAACCAACAGTAGAAGCAGAGTGGAAGGGACTGCTTGGACGAAGTCCAAAGCAGAGATGAACGGAGGGGACAGATGCAAGAGTGTGGGGTTTAGTTCTGACGCACGGGAAGTTGGATGAGTGGAGGAATGGAGGAATGGGGGAATGGGGGAACAGGGAAGCAGGGGAATGGGGAAATGGGGGAATGGGGGAATGGAGGATCAGAGGATCAGAGGGGGCCGACCTAGGGAGTCAATCCCTAGGCCGGCTAACAGGAGTTGACTAGGATCAGGCCCAAGTCAAAGAACAGAAGAGCAGGGCTTAGAAAAGGTAATATTCAGACTGAGTATCTACAGACAAATGTACATATGTTTATATACTCTAAGTGATGAGCATAGCATAGCAGAAGGCTATGTGCTGAGTGTACAGGATTACAACAGGATGACTGAGACATATGAGAATAAGGCTCGGGGAACAGTATGTACATGACAGATCAGAATCGCTAGAGTATAGGGATTACCGGTGATCCGAAAAGCAGAACTATGATACTAAACAGGGATAGGACCAGTTGAGTGGTTCCTAGTCTAGGAGTGGACCTGGTGAGGTGGTTGGATGGACTAATAGTCGGGTGGGACAAGATGAGCAGAACCAAGCAGGTCAGGAAAAGCGGAGGGAGTAGGAGTAGGATTGGGCAGACCGATAGGGTGGAGGAGCAGAACCCCAGATAGGGTCGGATGGAAGGGGTATAATGTCGGAGGACATAGGGGTAGTGTCGGAAGAGCGGAACGGGGTCGGGCGGAGGTAGCAGGGCTAATCCTGCTGAGTGTTAAGGTCATGCTCAAGGGAAAGACCACTCAAAGGGCTTTGGCTTCAGCTCAGTGCGCTGCGCCCCTTACCCGAGTATGTGCCCTGAATTTCCAGGGGGGCAGAAGGGAAGTCTGATGGAAGTCCAGGAAGTCCGGAGGTCAGACGTCGGGGGAGTTTGGTGGAACTCTGGAAGACTATAAGCGAAACGGAGTAAGGCTACTGCAGACAAGTCCGGAGTAGAAACAGAACAGAGGTTAGACTACCCTAAGGTAGAGCCGGAGATGTAGTCCTAAGGTTTAACCCCCAAGACTCAGAGGTAGACAAGAGATGAGACTCAAGTCTGGAGATGCAGGAATGAGCAGAACTAAGATGATATTTGAACTCAGGAGTTCTGGAGTATTACAGGGGTTTATATACTGTAGGTATCATGTAAGTAAATCAGTCAGCAAAGGTAAGGGCTATGTATGAAGCATGTGGAAAGTCTATTAGTAAGTGTAATGGATCAAAGCAGTGAAGTCGGAAATGAAGTAAGAATGAACAGATCAGTATGCATAGTGGAAAAGGACATAACTGTTAACTGGAGCAATAGTTATTCTAAAAGGAGTTAGAAGTGAGTGCAGAGATGAAGGCGGAGCGCCGGGCAGAATAGCAGGACAGAGAATCAGACTTTAATAGAGTAGACCCGGAATTCCAGATCCGGAGGTATGGGATATGACACTGAGATGCACTTCGTGCATTGTCGGAGAAGGAGGAATGGAGCGGACAGGGAAACAGGGGGTCGGACCAGGGGTGGGGATGTTCACAGGTGGTATTAGAGGTGCTCAGATCCGGTATATGACACGTAGTCAAAAAATGTAGTGTTGCGATCAAGGGGCAGACTGTTGGAGATAATAGGGCAATCTGAGCAGCAATGAACAGGGCTAAGGGGATATCAATAACAAATTGTGTGAGTGAGTAGTCGATAAGTTTCTGTGGACATAGCTTGAGTCTTGTGTTGTGGACTAAGGGCATAGGCTTGACCAGCTGATGTTTTTATTTAGATTAGTGGAGAGATTGATGCAGATAAACATAACACACCATCTAGTTGAGCATCATCGAGGTCTTTTGACAGTGCTGTAAGCCCAGCAACAGTACCCCTTTCCCATTGGAGGTCTTCAGCACAATTTCAGCCACTTCACTGGAAGTGACTCCTTTGGAAATTGCAGTAAGCTGTATGTCTACATGGAGCATCAGGCAATAGAATCAGGGATCTGAATGACACTCACCAGCCTTCCAATTTCGCATGTCCTGTGGAACTCCCAGAAGAACATTGTCTTGAGCTCTCCATTCCTGTCATATACCTGATCCGACCGCTCTAATATCAATATCCACTCCACTTTCCAACCACCTCCACTCCATCCATTCTCCACTCCATCCAATCATCTTCCACATACGCCCCTACACTTCCACTCAACCACCCAACCGGTCCCCTTCCATAAAATGCCTCCATTCAACTGGAACCACTTTCCCCTTTTAGATATATAATTTCCTCTTCGGTACATAGACCCTTACTCCCGGATCACTGGTAATTCCTTTTACCACTCGATCACTGATCCGACGCATACATATTGATATCTGCTCCGACTTATGTCTTCACATGTGTAAGTACTTACAAATGATATCCTTGGTACATAGCTTTACAACATAGTTATCCTGATCACTGCCTCATACATAGAAGTATATAACATATCATGTACTTACATATTTTCCTCAGTCTTAATATTACTTGTCTTCTTGCAATTACTCTTGTGAGAATTCTCAGTAGGACCTTGCCTCCTCTGGACAAAAGTTTCACCTTGTTGTCACCTCTGACCCTCCACTCCGACTTAGAGCCATGCTCTAAGTCTTCTCTTTACTTCTCCGCCCCCATCAAATATTTCCCCTACTCCTTTCTGCCCTCCGCACTATCCTCCACCTCCTCCGCTCCTATCAACCATTCCCCCTGTCCCTTCTCCACCCTTCCCATTATCCTCCGTCTTCTCTGCTCCACTCCTAGTCAGTCCACCACTAGTAGCTCTTACCTCCCAACCCTCAAAGCAGACCTAAGCGGTCTACTTGTCCTATCGTTGGACAATGTCGGACCTGCTCCAAATTCGGGGCACGTACTCGGCTAAGGGCACAGCACAAGAGCTGAAGCCAAGCCCCGACCCCTCTGCTTCCTGAGCCGGCACAGTACCTAACAATTTCCATGATTATTTGTTTTGAATGATTTCAGAACCTTATTGAGGTGCTCAAACAAAATGGTCCAAAAATTATGAATGGGACCAAAGTTGTGTGCACAGGCACTGACATGAGTTGAGAAATGATGGTTAGGCTTGAGGACGCTAGAACCATAGAGCTGAAAGGGAATATGAACCAAAGAGAAGAATGCAGAGAAACTAGATAGTGTACATGTATAAGCTCCGTGTTGTACTCTTGAAGCAGCTTATCAGCACAATCAATATCATTGTCAGATATTTGACATCTAATAAGAATCTGAAGGGCAGTGCATAGCTTTAAGAAGTTATCCGGGTCATCGGGGTGGAGCGAAAACTTAAAGTCCTCAGTTCTGTCATCCGAATCTGCAGACACAGATGCTGGTATGGTGCCTGGTGCTGGAGGAGACAGTTGTATCTGACCCTCCGGGAGGTCATCAACAGTTTGCACAGAGGCCTTTTGTTTCTTAGATGCCTAGTTATCTAATAGTTAGTAGTATAGTACACTGTATATGGAAAGTAACAAGTCACCTTTTGTTTGGCAGCATTTGCTTTCTTCTCCGCAGCCAACCTCACTTTTTCAGCCTGCTCAGCAGCAGCTGCTCTCAGCTTCCTCTATGTCTTTGCTTCTGCTGCTGCGAGTTTCCCCTGTGAAATCTGGGCCTTTTCAGCATCAAATGCGGCCTTGCCCTTCTTCTTTGCCTCTTCAAGGGCTTTCTTCTGTTCAGACTTGTGGTTGTCTGCAGTCTCCTTCTGATTCTCTAGTTGCTTAATCTGGGTGACACACTGACACAGAATATCATTGTCTGCATCAGTTGGAAGACACGTGCTCCATAGCTGTGGGATCTAGCAGCACATCATAGTTAGTACATAGTGAAGCAATTATAAACTTACAATGATTGGACCATAAACCATTGCAAGAAGTAACAATTGATCTGCTGTCAGCGCATCCCCTGATTGTCATGTACTGGATCCAAGCACCTCCAATACAACCTGTGAACATCCCTACCGCTAGTCTGACCCCCTGTTTCCCTGTGGGCTCCATCCCTTCTTCTCTGATGATGCACAAAGTGCATCTCAGCAGGACTAGCCCTGCTACCTCCGCCCGTCTAATTCCTCCGACACTATGTCCCGACCATCTGACCCTATCTGGAGCTCCACTCCTCCGCTCTGTCGGTCCACCCGATCCTATTCCTACTCCCTCCACCATCTCCGCTTTTCCAACCAACTCAGTTCCTCCAGTTTCTCTTGTATCAGTCCACCCGACTATTAGTCTGTCTGACCACCTCACCAGTCCACTCCTAGACTAGGAACCACTCAACTGGTCCTATCTCCTTTTAGTATCATAGTTCCTCCTTTTGGATCACCGGTAATCCTTATACCTGAGTGATTATTGATCCGTCGTGTACATACTGTTCTCCGAGCCTCTTTCTCATATGTCTCAGTCATCTTTCTAGTAATTCTGTACACTCAGCACATAGCCTTCTGCTATGCTATGCTACTTACTTAGAGTATATAAAGATATGTACATCTATTGGTAGATCTTCAGTCTGAATATTACCTTTTCTAAGCCCTGCTCTCTTGTCCCTGTTCTTGGGCAAAACCCTTGACAACTCCTGTTTGCTGGCCTAGGGGATTGACTCTCTAGGTTGGCCACCTTCTCCACATGTGCGACTTCCTGTGCCTCTGCCACCTTTCCCGCATGTCAGACTTGTGGCTAAAACCCTCATACCTCTGCCCTCTGTGTTTCCATTCTGCTTTGGACTTCGTTCAAGCAGTCTCCTCTGCTCCATTCCTACTGTTAGTTCCGACTGCAGTAGCCCTCCAACTCTCTTCTGTTGGGCGGACCAACCTCTGCCCGATGTTCCCACACTCATCCAGTAGTCCGTCGGCCCTCCTTTGAAGGACCTCCACTCCAATGTCCTGTTGGAGCTCATAGAAACTCGAGTCAGACTACAACCCAAAATTAGGGGCACGTACTTGGGTAAGGGGTGCAGTGCACGAGCTGAAGCCAAGGCCCTCAGACTCCGTCTCACCCCTGAACACAGTCTTAACACTAATGACATACCAATATTGGTCAGCAGCTTCCCGCATGATCCAGGGACAATAAACTAAATGAATCTGTCAGCTTGATGTATCTAGACCAAAAATGAGCTTACATCTACTATGGAGAAGCCGAGAGGTCGGGGCTTGGCTTCAGCTCTTGCACTGCGCCCTTAGCCGAGTACATGCCCCAAATTTGGAGTGGATCCAATGATGTCCAACAATAGGACGAGTGGTCCACTTTGGTCCACTTTGGTGGGTCAGGAGGTAAGTGCTGCTAGCGGTAATCCGACTAGGAGTGGAGTGGAGAAGGCAGAGGAAGCTTATTGGAACGGAGGGGAGCAAGGGGAACAATAGGGGAAGTCAGAGAAGTAAGAGCGAATACTTTAGAGTGTGGCTCTTAAAGTTGGAGTGGAGGGTCGGAGGTGACAACAAGGTATACTTGTGTCTGGAGAGGGAGCAAAGTCCTACGGAGAATTCCCACTAGTAGAGACAGCAGGAAGACAAGTAGTATTAAGACTGGGGTGTAGCTAAGTACAGGATATGTTTAATATACTTCTAAGTAGGAGGCAGTGACTGGTTAGTCCTTGGTAGGAGGCTATGTACCAAGTATACAATTTGTAAGTGAACACAGGTGAAAAACATAAGTCGAAGCGGATATCAATATGTACGTGTCAGATCAGTTAGTCAAGCGGTTATAGGAAGTACTGGTGATCCGGGAAGTAAGTACTAAGTGCAAATGGGGAAAGTATATACCTAAATGGGGGAAGGAGATTTACAGTAGAATGGATGATGCAGAAAGGCAACCGACGAGGCGGTTGAGCGGAGCCATAGGAGCGGATGTGGAAGCCAACTGGGTCGTGCAGAGGGCGGACAGAGCAGAGATGGTAGGAGAGCGGGGGAAGTAGGATGTTGGGCGGAGCAGATATTAATATTGACAGAGCGGTCGGATCAGATATATGACATACTAGCATATCATGAAATGTATTGAGTTCATGATTTGCCCAAAGAATTTTCAACTGCACCCAGATATTATAAAGTGCGTTTTGACTAGACCTAAAGAGTGATATATAGTTAGTCAGTGTAATATTTCATGATAAAATAACTTACCTAGAAATAGATTGTGCATTGGATCAACTACAATTTGCTCGACCAAGTCAAAGTATGGGAGACATGAGAGTTGGGTATATCGAGTGGTGTACTCCTTTACAAAGACCTTCTGGGCGCTTGATGTCCCAAGATTTCAATAATGTTCACCCAAGTCCTGCTGTTCTGTGTTCGTGCGGGGTTGAAATGCTATAAAAATTGAACATCTAATATTAAAAATGTTAATAGTACAACCATGTGCACCTCCTTTCTGAAAGGATTGAGGTTTATCCTTGTCTTCGTTCTTGATCCAGCAGCACGTACAAAAATGTGTGTGGGAATGAGATACAAACCCTCCGATTTTGTGTGCAGCTGGTTTGTTACACACAACAGCCACCAAGATCACACAGACAAGCCGACCTGAAAGATAGGGTAATCAGTGATTGTGATTTTAATGAAGCAAACATTACCTTGTGGGCATGATTCCATAGGTAACTGGACCCCAGACTTCCAGAGGCGAAGCAAGTCTGAGACGATGGGGTGAAGGAATCTTTGAATTTGATCTGGGTTCTGCTCTTTCGGACTAGGGAGAATGCTAGTACACATTAGATTAGATGTTCGATAACTTGGAATGGTATTCAGTGAGATGTCTAGTATGCAGAGTATGAAGATATACCAGTATTCCAGGGGAAGATTGCAAACTGAAAATGAAGTTGGACAGGAGGAATGAGACGGTGCTATGTTGCTTTGAATATATGAGAACCTGGAAGGAGACAATTTAACTGTGGATGATTGTGATGAAAAATGATGCACCAATCAACTCCAAGATTGACACCAATTTGAAGCTCCCCGTCTGGACCATTTTTCTCATGTGGAAGGTTCAAAAAGAATATCTTACCATCCACACCTTGGAGCTTTGTATGATACATGTCCCCATTGAAAATATCAGTATATTCACCTGGATTTCGAGGTTTTGATTGCCAAGCATTGAGATTAGCCTCCAGGTCCAGAACCTTCAGCAATGATTTGAGTTGCTCTGAGAGCAGAAGGTAGTGATACTTGACGACAGGTGATCTTATAGCACGAAGATTCCCGTGTTTCATTAGATCCGGAAGGAATAAGCTGACATTGCAAGTTATACACATATCATGCGACTGTGGAGATCCTCCAGGGGAATAAACATCTCGGCAAATAGGGCAAACAGGTAGTGTATATGCAGACTTGTCAACACCAAGGACACGGTTGCTTGACTGGAGAGTGATGAAGGATGTTTTGATTGCTGGCAAAAGCAAGATAAGGATGCATGCAAAGATGGTTAGCAATGCATTACAAGCCACTCTTGGTAGGTGGAACTGCAAATGTAACCATGACACCACCATATATATGGTGAGGAGGTGGGGGGGAATGTCAGTGAGGTCCCTGTTGTCTTTCAAGTCAAGAACTTCCTCCACAATAAATGGATTGGGTTCATCCTCATCTGGTCCAGTATTCAAGGTAGTGATACTGTGATCTTCATCATCATCTTGGTCATCAAAGATTGCATCAACATCAATGTTGACATCAAGATCATCCCGTCCACTTGATCCACCTGTTGCAGTTCTTATTCTTGTATCTCATCAAATAGATTTGCAAGCTGTCAGTCAAGCATACACCACTTGGGGTTGATAGGAAGACAATGAGCCTCATGAGCTGTCAGGGGCTGTCCACCAGCTGCTGTAGCTGTGTTATATCCATCAAAGTGGTCAACAGCAGTGAGAAGAGCCTCCAGGCTGTGGAAGTTAGGTCTGAGATTCGGTAACGCCCTACCGTGAGTCATGATATCAAGGTCCTTGCCAGTAAGAAATCCAAAGTCTAACATCTCCTGCTCCACTGTGGAATCTGAGATGTGAGGTGGATCATGGAATTCAACATCCAGGGAAAGGGGAGGCAGTGGCTCGTGTAATGGAACTGCGAATCCATGTGAAATAGGACCCTCATCTGCACGAGCCCCAGGCATGATGTGTCCACCGACGTGCCTAAAATTTGCCTGTGAAGAAACACTTTGATTGAGTAGATCACTTCACTCATGAGTGTGAGTGGTGTGTGATAGTACAAGAGCACTGTTGCAGCTGTGAACCTTGCAGTAGTATTGTGTGTGAGGCATGTTAGATGGTGCAGAGGGTGTTATCTTAGATATGTCAGGACTCAGTACTTGACAGAAGGACACTCAAAATCCAGGGGTCACATGAGCGCATTACAGCATCCCTACTTTACAAAGCCTACTACAGAAAGTAAAATTGTCTGTGACACGTTGAAGGAACGTTTGAGGGATCTCATTCTTTGATTCATCTAAGCTTCATATGGTGGCCGTTGCTCGGGTTCCGACTCTGGTTTCATCACACTATCATCAATGACCTAGACAGCAGATACTAGTAAGCACTCAGACACCAATAAATAAAGCAAGAAAAACTCACAACCTTCTGGGCCTCTCCCCAGTGATTAACGATTTCTGGCCTCTGTGTTTCTGTGTCGCTGCTGTCCTGCAGCTTTGATCATCTGTGACCTTGACCGTTTCAGAGACTTTTGGATGGCGATTTCGACAGTCTATATAGAAGTATAAGTTAGTCATTCATATAAGAGAGATATTTAGTACTTACTACAGGTCCAGGTGTACTGGTTTCAAATGTGAAACTGAATGCTTGAATTTGCGCAGGAAGTTCGAGTTTGATGTTGTTCATGGCTCGTCTTAAGGGACTTAGGCGAAATTTTCAATGAACTTTGTCGGAAATTTCATAAGTTGGTTGCAACAGTGTGCCTGTGAGACTCGGTTTCAACCGTATTGATACCGAGTCATGATATTGAAACCTAAGTTCTATTCTTAGAACCCATTAGGAATATTTATACAAGAGTTGCATCATTGTAACTGATTTGTAATATTGATGCTGGACCTAGACCCTTGGTACGTCAATTGCAATGCTGTAGCCAGCTGTTAATTCAGATGCCGCACCATCCTCTCAACACCCCTTCACCAACAACTTCAGCCCTCATTAGTATCTTCTGTTCTCCTTGTTACAGTTCTGATTTGTATAATTTCATTGGCAGATCTGCGCCTTTTAAATGTCATTAGTCTGCTGATTCACTTACATATTTCAGATTCTGCAAGCTTTGTATACCCGACTTCACCCTCCAGTGCTTCTCCATCAAAGTGCCGCACCATCTGCTGTCTTGAGAGGTGATTTTACACCCATTTTCACTAACAATTCATGTAAGTCTCATCACTGTCTCTGATGAATCTGATGCTGATATGTGTCTGTCCCAGTTTCAATATCATATTAGATGCCTGCTGATTTGCAACGATCCTGTGATTATTGTGGCCGATCCTTTCATCGCCAAGGATTCCGAACACATGAAAAGGCTTGCCAGAGGCGCTCTGAACAAAGAAGAGAGGATTTGGAGCTTGCTAGGGCCATTCGTCAAGGTACATCTACTATATTACTAGCATCATTTTGATTCTACACTAATGTTAATTAATTGTAGAGCAAGAACAGGCACATCAGGATAGCATGTTCACTGGTGTCCAACCATCTGTCAGTGGCTCAACATCTCATAAGCCATCACTTTCGTTTGTCCTTGATCGCCAACACTGACCTGTCGTGCATTGACGCAAGCTATCAACAATCACTTGGAGGGTGATGATTTTGATTTCAACAACCAGATAGACTACCAACATGATGCCGATGTGGGACGGACCAATTCTGATGGTATGTTTTCGTCATTTCTTTGTATCATCATGTTTTCAACTTATGTCTATACAGGTGATCCGCCACCATCTGGAACAGTATCGCCTGCACCCCAGTACAACATTGACGATATCAAAGTGGAATACCACCCCAGTAGTGGTATCCCCACCAAAGTGTACCACTTCGAGGACTATGGACGCGGTCCTGGTGCCCCACCAGCAGTTCCAGAAGCAGATCCTATGCCCTGGCAGCCGCTTCGCACTTGTATCGACTTTGAGGTTGCAGAACTCGCTCATGACGCTGGACTCTCTCATGAACAGCTGGACCGGCTCATTCACCTCATTCATCGCAGCAGGATTGAGCTCTTTACCCTCAAGAATTGCAAAGATGTGAGAGACATGTGGGATGCAGCATCATTCAAGATGACACCTGTGTGTACCATTCACTAACTTCGTATATACTATGCTTATTTTGCTTCTGTCATGTAATAGTTTACAAAGGAGGAAGTTATTGTGCCCTTCCGAGGTGTTGATCGAACATTCCCGCTATTTCATCGTTCACTGTGGGACTGGGTCACTGATTTACTTCAAGATCCACAAGTAGGTCCGAACTTTGTCTTCGATGCGCAAAGGCTGTCAAAGTTCAATGGCAAGAAGTTCGTTTGGTTCATTCATGAACCATGGACTGCTAATGTGTTCTGGGAGTATCAAGTAGGTCATTTTCTTATTAGTATCATGTTAAGTGTCTGCATTGTAGTATATACCATTGACTGATTCAGACTATCATAGTCGAAAATCCCACCAGACGCAAAACCTCTTGCATTCATTTTGTATGCCGACAAAGCAAAATTATCATCATTCGGTCATGTGAAAGGCTATCCAGTAGTCGCTCGCTGTGCTAATCTTCCTATTGCGATTTGCAATGGAAAAGGCTTGGGTGGAGGGCACATTGTTGGTTGGCTGCCTATTGTTCGCTCTACTCTTCCTTATAACTACTGATGAGTTCATTATTAACACTCAGGACAGGTAAAGGAAGACAAGCAGCATTCTGGAAAGCCTGCTTTTGTCAACTTCAAGAATGCAGTGTGGCATGCCTTGTTTCTGAAGATTCTCGACTGTCTGGCACCGCTATCGAGGTTTGGTTCCGCCATCAAATGCTGGGACGATGTTATTCGCGTCTTCTATCCAATTGTACTAATACTATCTGCAGACTATGAAGAACAGTACGTGTACTCTAGTTCCTGTAACTATTAGATTTCTCTGACATCTCAATGTGTTCACTGTTGTAGGGCTGTAATGGCATTGATTCATGGTTTAATGGGCAAATTTCCTTGTCCTGTCTGTCTAGTGCCTCGCGACGAGCTTTCAAACACTCTCAAGGTATTTCCTCTCCACACATGCACAGAAACTAAGGCATTGCTTGCTCGAGCGCGAGAATCTTCTACATTGGATGCAAGAGAACAGATCTTGAGTTCCCAGAGCCTCCATGATGTCGATGTGAGTCTCGCTCTTATCCTTATCTTTATCTTACTCAGTCTATTATTACTGTTTCGTTTTCAGAGTTCATTCGGTGTTCTGGAGCACACCAACGTTCACAGGGCTCTATCGCACAACAAACTCCACTTCAACGACGAGGGATTGTTCCGTGATCACACCTGGTCCGAACTGCAGAAATGGGTTGAACGTTTGGGTCGACAGGCCGCTGTCCAGATTGACAACTTGTGAGTCATTTTTCCGCTGTACTTATGTAGGTTTTCATCTATATTGTCAGCTTTCAATCAATTCCGCATTGGCGAAACCTGAATCACTTCAATCAAGTTATATCAGTATCATTTACCGACAGAACAAAATATGAAGACATCTCTAAGGCGAGCCTAGATCATTCACTTTAATATATCATTCACATTGTTTTAGCTTATTGTATTTGCAGCACATAATGTATTCGACCGTGATATGGATCTGGAGGCATATCTCCTGCTCCGCTGTATCCGAAGCTATGTGGAGTTCAATATGTATGCTTCGTTAGAGGTTCATACTGAAGATACCATCAATAATGGCCGGGAAGCGTTGTCAAAGCTCACTGGATTGATGGATGTACATATTTTTAGTTCAATTCTAATTCATTGCATTGAATCCAACTGTTTGGTCAGAAATACATCAAGTGTTAGGTACCGTGCCAACTCAAGAGGCAGAGGGGTTGGGGCTTGGCTTCAGCTCTTGTGCTGCGCCCTTAGCCGAGTATGTGCCCCAAATTTGGACCAGGTCCAACGTTGTCCGATGATAGGACGAATGGACCACTTTGGTCCGCTTTGAGGGTCGGGAAGCAAGAGCTGCTAGCGGCGGGCCGACTAGGAGCGGAGCGGAGAAGACAGGGGATGATGCAGAGGGACAAGGGAGAATATTGGATAGGGGTGGAGTATATGGAAAAGACTTAGAGCACAGCTCTAAGTTGGAGTGGGGGATTGGAGGGTTGGAGATGACAACAAGTTGAGACTTGTGTCCAGAGGAGGCAAGGTCCTACTGAGAATTCTCACAAGTAGTAACTGCAAGAAGACAAGTAATATTGAGACTAAGGAAAAATATCTAAGTACATGATATGTTATATACTTCCATGTATGAGGCAGTGACCAGGATAACTATGTAGTAAAGCTATGTACCAAGGATATAGTTTGTAAGTACTTTACATAGGCAAAGACATAAGTTGGAGTGGATATCAATATGTACGTGTTGGATCAGCGATCGGGCGGTAATAGGAATTACCAGTGATCCAGAAGTAAGAGTCTATGTACTGAAAGGGGAAAGTGTATGTCTAAAAGGGGAAAGGGATCCAGTTGAATGGAGAGGTTTATGGAAGGGGACCGGTTGAGCGGTTGAGCAGAAGCATAGGGCGGAATGTGGGTTTGTGATAGGACTGATCGGAGGATGGATGGGGCGGAGGGGGTCGGAAAGCGGAGCGGATATCAGTATCAGAGCGGTCGGATCTGGTATATGACATCGAGGATACAGCAGAGATGTCTGAGAAGTCCTGGAATTTCCCCAAGAAACATCTTTCGGCCCATCTCTTTGACGACATCGAGGCGAAAGGTGTTTCTCGAAACTACAGCACCAAGCCGAACAAGAAAATGCACGGCCCATTGAAAGATGCCTATCAAGATCGCACAAATTTCAAGAACTTCGATGAACAGGTAAGTGACTTCTGAATCTGAGTTCGCATATATATGACTAACAATGAATTTTTTTTAAGATCCTCCGATACAACCATGACAGCTTGATTGCGCAATACATTCGCAACAAGTTGGATCACCTTGACACTCAGAATCTCAGCATATCTGACGACTTAGAAGACCAACCCGATACTGCACTCCAGGAGACTGACAACTCAGATGATATTGATGTTGACTCGATGGAACCTACTGATGCCCAACATTTTACTCTCGGTTCAAAGCAGGTGGCAATGTCATTCACACTCATCGAGGCAGGTAGTCCAGGTAATCCAGCGTTTGATAGATTTCAAATCAAGCTAAACGACTTTCTGAACCATGCATTTGCTGCCAACAGCATACCGTTTCCAGGTGGACGACGGATTCAACTCATTGTGAGCGACATGGTAAGTTGATGATGTTCAATGCTCCGAAATAACATAATCTCTGAGTCCTTTTGAATTAGATCGTGGAATATTGATTCCTTAAAGTAAATTTTGAGTCACTTGTCGACTGGTGAGTGTCCACGGACTACCTTCGATGCACTCTGATGTTCCATGGCTCACTGCGATACGATTGCGTCATCTTGCAGACCAACACTGGCATCATCTTTGGCAAACTAATGTTGATTCTCACATGCACAGTAGGGGATGTTCAATATCCTGTCACACTTGTTCTCCCATATGATTGACCGGTCAGCATTCATCCACAAAAGGACAAAGACTTTCAGTTTTGGCGCGTTAAGAGAAAGCCTAGGGCTTCTGCAGAGTTTTTCTCGGTTCACTCAATTGTTTGGGGTTGTATGATAGTAGAGGATGTCAGCAGACCTGACAAGTTTTTGATTGTTGACACTATTGATACAGATATGTTCCTTCGAATGCAGGACATCTGCAGCCAGTGACTCTTATTACTTCCGACCTCCTTATTTCCCTGCATCTGCCTTCGACTATTAGCAATGTCAGTCCTCATTATTAGGACCATTTGATTAATTTCTTACTACTATTGCAATCTTCTTCTATCTTAGTATGATGCACAGCGCCTGTTACTAACTCATTGATTCAGATTCAGAGGGTCATGCTGTGTCACAATGGCCTGCCTCATGTCAGGTAATACCCAACATCTGCTCAAGATTCAGTCAAGGACCTGATGAACATTACCAGATCTTTAGTTGCACGCTCAAACTGAGCATTGAGAATCGCCATTGTTGGCCCTTACCACAGAACTCTTCGATATCGAAGAAGTCAAGTATGAGGAGCAGTGGAACAAGAAATACGCACCCAGACCTGTGAAACAAGGTGTGTCAACCAAGTCTTGACCTTCCTCTCATCGAGATGGGTGATCATGACACATTCAAGGGCAAAATCACCAACGACCCTGGTCCTGTTTCTGGAGAACTTCATATCCTTCCTACGCCCTACCCCCAGGCATTGAGGATGCTCACAACTCCTCCCTTGCTCCACAAACTGGACTCTTTCAGTGTTTCATGTCATGGGGCGCAGTAGAGCTTCAATCTGATGTGAGTAACACATCTGCCATCCTTTGCCAGTTACTGACCTGTCTTTAGCCTCAAGACGGGGCAGATTGCATCGTCCCGCAGGTGCCAAAGATGCCACATAAGGGCAGGAAAGTTGCAGCTGTCGGCCTCATCCGCATGCTCACACAGAGCATGATCATGCTTATGCCTCCTAGTCCCTTGTTTGCGCAACCCGTTACACCAAACATCCCCGCCAGTTCCTCTGAGAAAGAAAATTTTGGCAACATCACCATCATGAAGCCGAATCTCACCATCACCACCACGAAGCTGGATCTTTCCTCAGGCATGTCCACCGCATCATCATGGCCCTTGACCTATGGGATCTCACACTTGAGCAACAGCATATAACAGCTGTGGAGGGCATCGTGCCCACATTGCAAAACAAGGTTGCTACAGTTAATCTCGATTGTCGTCTTGACCTGAAGACCATTGCATTGCATGCCCGGAATGCAGAATATAACCCCAAGGTTGGTACTACTGTTTGACTACGTGTCGTTGCACGCCAATGCACTTTGCACGATAGCGTTTTGCAGCTGTCATCATGCGTATTCGTGATCCCAAGACAACTGCACTTATCTTCGCCGAAGCTTGGCTTTGGTGCCAAGTTTGCCAAGTTCAAGATTCAAGACATCATCGAAAGCTGTGACGTGAAGTTCCCCATTCACTTGGAGGGTCTTGCTTATAGCCATGGACAGCTCAGCAGTTATGAGCCTGAGGTATGTTGGCGGCAGTTGAGGACTGTTGTTTACTCACATCTGTTTAGTTGTTCCCCGGCCTCATCTATCACATGCTCAAGCCGAGGGTCGTGTTATTGATCTTCGTGTCGGGGAAGATAGTGTTGACTGGTGCGGTAAAGACTTTCATTATATCTTCTCGCGTCAGTGATTCTTGGATTACTCCAAGATGAGACTGAGGTGTTGGTGGATCTGGTTCGAACCCTCTGCTGACACTGTTATTGTTCTCTTCTCCACTAGGTCAGGGAAGATATTTATACTGTGTTCAACACCATCTATATAGTGCTGTGCGAGTTCAGGAAACCTTGATGTTGTCTCCAGTTCAAAACTCATTCTCTTCTTTCTGCCTTCTATCATCTTACGGCTCACACTACACTGCTTGCTGATAGGGCCACCCTGATCTTGACGACTCTCTTCGATGACAGTAGTGAGCGAGACCTATAAAACATCTTTACTGAGGGTCGAAAGACCGGGGAGCAGACGTAGTGCACGGATATTCCTCCTCCTCCCTCTTCACTGATAATATATCTCCATCTACTCAATTTTAATCACAATTGGAATCATCATTCATGTTTTTGAACATTTTGTTTGTCTTGTGTAGATATCAAAAATTGTCAATGTGATTACATCAGCATTTGATTGCATTTCTCACTAAGTCGTTTGGTTGAGTTTACTATTGTAACCAAGTTGCAACTCCTGAATCTCAGTCTGAAGCCAATTGAGACCACGACTCGAGCACAATTCAACAGATGTCAAGCAAGTGCAGGTGAGTCTGGATTGCCACTTATTAATATCAATAGACTGCCTAATATTGTAACAGGTTCATTGTTTAAATTGGACGCCTGGCTGCCACTGTCCGATCTTTTTTATTACGTTGAGAGCAGCACACAGGTAAGTGAATATTACCTCGTGTCATATTGACATCACCCGCATGCTGATTCAATTAAATGTAAGGCCATCATTCACAATGTGATTTCCCTCGTGTTTTCTTTCCTCATGTTCGGTCCAAGTTGCACAGCCAAGATTGACTATAAATTGTGGTGGGTCTGTTGATATTTTTCGCACCGTGTTTTACTTGACTTGTTGTGATACCTCAGTGTCCCATTGTGCACCGTGACTCAGAGTCCGAGTTAGAGTACCATGATGCATCTGAATTGGATGTACCATCGTCTTTTGTGGCGGCGACCGCATCAGCCACCACTTAGTCATCGGCCTCTTTGCAGGGTGGAGACATGGAGGTAATGATGCCTTCCTTCGCTCGCTATGATTTATTAGTAGCTCTAACTTCATGCATCTCAAGATCATTCAGCGCCTGCAACTTGAAAACCAGTCTCTCAAGAACAATAATTGGATGCTGGGCGAGAAGAACAAAGTCTTGGCATCCAATCAACATAGACGTTCGAGTGCGCAAGTTCCTGACGAGCTGAAGGCCTTCAACATTGAGCTCTCGACCTTCACTCACAAATATGGTGTTATTGCTAAGATGTTCCCACCTGAGCACCACATTCTAAGATTGCTAGTGCCAAACCTGAGCCCGTCATCATATCCCCTAGTCATTACGCAACTAAGGGTGCCAAAGAACTTTGCCTTGTGACAGAGGTGTATTTGCTTCTACTGGATCACCTCCATCGTTTCATACCGACCTCTCATTTTCAATCATTGGTACATTGGTTTATATGCTTTGTCATCCCACCAAATACTAACTGATATCTTATTTAATAAATATTGCAGCTAGAGCACCATCTCCAAGGTGGACGCTCCAGCGAGATCGGCAACAATGTCCACAGTTTTTGGTAACTGGGAACCACTCGCGAAGGTAATTTTTAAGCTTTACTCCGTTCTTTAAATTGTGCTAACGGATCTATTACATAGGCAATTAGGATCATGATGTTCAGAAAGAATTTGCTAGACATTCCTGGCTGGCCATGCGCTAAGTGCAATGCTCGAAAATGGGGCACAATGTCCTGCACTCCTGGCCTTCTTGCATGGGGTTGGGTCACAGTGAGTTCTATTTCTGCTATCATTGATCCTCTAGATCAGCATCTAACTACTATTCTCTAGTTGATCTTCATCCTTTCTTCCAACACTTCATTCACGAAAGCTGGAGTTGGCGCGAAGTCTCGGCTACCATATGCTGCCATGTTCACGGCTTATAAGCAGTTGTGGGTAACCCTTTGGTGCCAGCCTCATATTTGCACTATCCGCAAAAAGATTGATGCCTACGTCTGGCAATCATCCTCGACTTCCAATATCGCAACGTCCAATGCTGAAGGTGAAGATTTTACCTCTGATCTGATGTGTTTGGCCATCGCAAATGCAGGGCATAAGGAATCCGACGACTTTCCTGGACCTCCGACTACCGACAACAACTCTGTTAATGACATTCCTGGACCAGTCACGCCTACTACACCCATGATCGCTCCTTCAGCACCGGCCATTGTCCCTTCAGCACCTGGACTGGCCATTGTCCCTTCAGCACCAGCCATCGTGGCGCTTGCCCCTGCAAATGCTACCACCGCTCCCAATCCTGCAACCCCCTTGCCGGCTATTCCAGCCCCTGGACCACCTGTGGCATCTGAGCCTGCAGGAGCAGCTGCTGCCACTGCGGCCTCTGAAGACTCTGGACCTTCAGCAATGGCTGTTGATTTAGAGGTTCCTGGAGTACCTGATGATGTACCGGTGGTAGTGAGTGCCCCATCTTCTGGTCGTTGGGGCCGAGAAAGGAAGGCAGGGATGCTAGCACCTATATCTAGTGGACCGGCAAGTGAGCAGGCTGCAGGCCAACCAAAGCGCACTCGGAAGAAGTAGAACCGCTACCTACAGACTGCTACTTTACATGTTCGTATTATTTGATATGTTTTGTTGATTCAGAGGATCACAGTGCTGGTTTGCAATTGAATTTACTTGCTCTCAATCATGTTTCAATTAGAATGAAACCTGCCTGTGTGTATTCCAATGTCATTGAAACTCAGTTAGGATATTTAGATAAGCTTTTGAATCTAGATCTCAAGGTACCAAAAAATCAACTTGGACAGTTGCGGCCGACGGTCAATATTGCGAACTTTGTTGAAACCTCATTGGAATTACCATTGTGACATAAACTTAATATTGTAACGTGAAATGTAACATAAATGTAACGTCACACTCTTTTATTGCAACCTATTGGGACCTCGACTTGTCATTGGATCATTGCAACACGTTACAAGGTGACGAAACCCGATTAGGAAATTTCTGACATTACCTGAAACCAACTTCTAGTGTAATCCAAAGGCCATAGAACAAATATCCTGGGCAACTTAGTGTGGTATTAGGTGGTATTTGGGTTGGAAAATTTGAGAGCACAAAGTCTGGAAAGGGTCTGTTTACAATTGCTGCCTTCCTAGGATCCTTCAAAAGTTGTACCATGTTGACTTTAGGTTGGAATTACTGTTGAGGTGGGTTTAGGTGTGATTATACAAGCTACACGCCTTGGAATAGACTAGGATCATTTTCTCATTTCTGCAGTGAATATCATATCATAAATCTGACTACATTAGGAAGGTGTGCCACAATGCTGCTGTTCATTTGAGCTGAATTTGCAAATGTATTTTCTTTGCCCCCTCTTTTAAACCTTAATCTATTGCCCCCCCCCCCCCCTGCAGACTTGACTTCCTTCTGTTTTAGGCCACTAACGCCAGTGATATTTGCTGACATAATGAGCCTTGCTCAACGTGCGTGGCACCTCTTGCAGTCATACAAAGGTACATCATCAATGTTTGTTGACACCTCTATCTCCCTATTCCTTTTAGACAATAATACCAAGTCCTCTATATGAAATTACCACTTAACAATGCTGTCTCCACCCATGCCTCCGATCTCACCCTATCTGTCCCAGTGCCTACCTCCCACCAATCCTCACCCTTCATCAATGAAAATTTCCTTACCATCCCTGTATTTAGGGTTGGCTCGTTCACGATCACTACATGCTAGGCTGGTGTACTTGTGTTGCACTATTACCAGTACAGGGTCCTTGCATTTTGCTTTTTTTCTATGAAAATACCCACCCTGTTAAGACTGTGCTCAGGGGTAAGGCAGAGTCTGAGGGGCTTGGCTTCAGCTCATGTGCTGTGCCCCTTACCTGAGTACATGCCCCTAATTTTGGATTGTAGTCTGACATGAGTTCTATGAGCTCTGACAGGATGTTGGAGCGGAGGCTCTCCGAAGGAGGGCTGATGAAATATTAGATTGAGCACAGGAAAGTCAGGTGGGGGTTGGACCACCTGACAGGAGAGAGTTGGAGGATTACTGTGGTCAGAACCAACAGTAGAAGCAGAGTAGATAGGACTGCTTGGATGAAGTCCAAAGCAGAGCAGAAACAAAGAGGACAGGTGTACAAGAGCACTGGCTCAAGTCTGACATGCAGGAAAGGTGGCCAAGGCATGGGAAGTCAGACAAGTGGAGCGGGTGGCCAACCTAGGGAGTTGACTAGGATCAAGCCCAAGTCAAAGATCAGGAGAGCAGAGCTTAGAAAAGGTAATATTCAGACTGAGTATCTCCAGACAAATGTACATATGTCTATATAATCTAAGTAATGAGCATAGCATAGCAGAAGGCTATGTGCTGAGTGTACAGTATTACAAGGGGATGACTGAGACATATGAGAATGAGGCTTGGAGAACAGTATGTACATGATGGATCAATAATCACTCAGGTATTGTCATATACCAGATCCAACCACTCTGATGATATCAATATCTGCTCCACTTGACTATATCCCTTCTGCCTTACCCTTCTTCCTGCTCCACCCATTCCCCACCCTAGCGCTTCTGCTCCACCACCTCATTGGTTGCCTCCTGTATTGGCTCCATTCAACTGGAACCATTTCCCCATTTAGGTATACACTTTCCCCTTCGGCACATCACTCTTACTTCCTGGATCACTGGTAATTCCTATAACCGCTCAATTACTGATCTGTCGTGTACATATTGATATCCACTCCGACTCATGTTTTTTCTGTAGTAATACTTACAAATTGTATACTCAGCACATAGCATTATGCTATGGACTACTGATCACTGCCTCTGTTAATGTCATGCTCAAGGGGAGGAGAATTCAAAGGGCTTAGCTTTAGCTCATGTGCTGCGCCCCTTACCCAAGTACGTGTGTCATATACCTGATCTGACTGCTCCGATGATATTAATATCCACTCTGCCTGACCATAAACCCCTCCCGCTTTCCCATCACCTCCACTCTGTCTGCCCTCCACTCGATCCAGTCGGCTCCCTCATTGGCTCCTGTGCTCCCACTTGACCACCTCATTGGTTACCTTCTGTATTGTCTCCACTCCACTGGAACCTCTTTCCCCATTTAGGTATATACTTTCTCCATTGACACATAGAACCTACTTCCCAGATCACTGGTACTTCCTATAACCACTCAACTAACTGATCTGACATGTACATATTGATATCTGCTCTGACTTATGTTTTCACCTGTGTTTACTTACAAATTGTATACTTGGTACATAACCTCATACCAAGGACTACTAGTCACAGCCTCCTACATAGAAGTATATAAAAACATACCATGTACTTAGCTACTCCTCAGTCTTGTTAAGGTCATGCTCAAGGGAAAGACAACTCAAAAGGCTTCAGCTTCAGCTTGTACACTGCGCCCCTTACCCGAGTACGTGCCCTTAATTCCTGAGAGGCAGAGGGGATGTCGGACGGAAGTCCGGGTAAGTCTGGAGGTCAGATGTAGGGGGAGTTCAGCAGAACTCTGGAAGGCTAGGAATGGACAGAGTAAGGCTACTGCAGACAAGTCTGGAGTAGAAACAGAAACAGGGTTAGACTACCCTAGGGTAGAGCCGGAGATATAGTCCTAAGGTTTTAACCCTAAGACTCAGAGTTAGACAAGAGATCAGACTCAAGTCTGGAGAAGCAGGAATGAGCAGAACTAAGATGATATTTGAACTCAGGAGTACTGGAGTATTACAGGAGTTTATATACTGTAGGTATCATGTAAGTAAACCAGTCAGCAAAGTAGAAGCTATGTACGAAGCATGTATGTGGAAAGTCTATTAGTAAGTGTATAATGGATCAAAGCAGTGAAGTCGGAAATGAAGTACAAATGAACGGGTCAGTAAGCAAAGTGGAAAGGACATAACTGGTAGCCAGAGAACAGTTATTTTAAAAGGAGATAGGAGTGGGTCCGGAGATGAAAACAGAGCACCGGATGGAGAATAGAATGAGAGAAGCGGACTTTCGTAGGGGAGATCCAGAATTCCAGATGCGGAGGTATGGGATATGATAAGTCTCAATATTGCTTGTCTTCCCGCAGTCTCTACTAGTGGGAATTCTCTGTAGGACTTTGCTCTTTCCGGACACAAGTTTACCTTGTCATCACCTCCGACCCTTTGCTCCAACTTAGAGCTGTGCTCTAAGTATTCACTCTTACCTCTCCAACCCAACCAATCAATCCCCTTACTCCCCTCTGTTCCGATGCACTTCCTCTGCTTCACCTGCTCTGCTTCTAGTCGGATCACCACTAGTAGCATTTACCTCCCAACCCGCAAAGCGAACCAAAGCAGTCTGCCCGTCCTATTGTTGGACCTGCTCCAAATTTGGGGCACATACTTGGCTAAGGGTGCAGCGCAAGAGCTGAAGCCAAGCCCTGACCCCTCTGCTTCTCTGTCTGGGCACAGTTCCTAACAACATGCCCTTAATTTCTGAGGGGTAGGAGAGAAGTCTGAGGACACAAGTCTCACCTTATCATCACCTCCACTCCTCTGCTCCTCTGCTCTGACTTAGAGCTGTGCTCTAAGTTGAACTACTCTTACTTCCCCCCACACCATATACCAATCCCCTTATCCCTTTCTGCTCTGACTTACTTCATCCGCTCCATCTGCTCTGCTTCTAGTCGGCCCGCCGCTGGTAAGCCTTTACCTCCCAACCCTCAAAGCAGACCAAAGCAGTCCACCCATCCTATCATTGGACAATGTCAGTCCTGCTCCAAATTTGGGGCACATACTCGGCTAAGGGCGCAGTGCAAGAGCTGAAGCCAAGCCCCAACCCCTCCACTTCTCTGACCGAGCATGGTACCTAACAGGTATAGGGATTACCAGTGATCCAAAAGGAGGAACTATGATACCAAAAGGAGATAGGACCAGTTGAGTGGTTCCTAGTCTAGGAGTGGACTGGTGAGGCGGTAAGGTGGACTAATAGTCAGGCAAGCTGACACATAGAAACTGAAGGAACTGAGTGGTTGGAAAAGTGGAAATGACATGGGGAGTAAGAGTAGGATCGGGCAGACCGACAGAGTGGAGGAGTGGAGCTCTAGATAGGGTTGGATGGTGGGAATATAGTGTCCAAAGAAATAGGGGTAGTGTTGAAGGAGCAGAACAGAGTTGGGCGGAGATAGCAGGGCTAGTCCTGTTGAGATGCACTATGTACACTGTTAGAGAAGGAGGGATGGAGTGGACGAGGAAACAGGGGGTTGGACCAGCAGTGGGGACATCTGTGAATGGTATTGGAGGTGATTGAATCTGTTAAGACCATGCTCAGGGGTAAGGTGGAGTCTGAAGGGCTTGGCTTCAGCTCATGTGCTGTGCCCCTTACCCAAGTACATGCCCCTAATTTTGGATTGTAGTCCAATACAAATTCTACAAGCTCCGACAGGACATTGAAGCAGAGGCTCTCTGAAGGAGGGCCCATGGACTACCAGATGAGCGCAGGAAAATCAGGCTGAGATTGGTCCACCTGACAGGGAAGAGCCAGAGGACTACTGCAGTTGAAACCAACAGTAGAAGTGGAGTGGGTAGGACTGCTCGGATAAAGTCTGAAACAGAGCAGAAATGAAGAGGACAGATGTGTGAGAGTGCTGGGCTCAAGTCCAACACGTGGGAAAGGCAGCCGAGGTGTGGGAAGTTGGATGAGTGGAGGGGGCGGCCGACCTAGGGAGTCAATCCCCTAGGCCGGCAAACCACATACTACAGTGACCAAACTCCATCTTAGATGGGCTAGCCCAGGGACATAATGCATCATCTTAGATGGGTTAGCGGACCATGGGCCGATGTAATAATATCCTCATTGAGGATTGGTGGGCCAAGAGGCAAATTATCCCTGATGGAGATGGGTGGGCCCATCTAGATAATATCTAGAGTAGAATACAGTAGATGAGTTGGCTGAGGGTGATGGATCATAAAGATGAGTGGGCTGAGGTATTAGTATATTATATGGACGGATGGGCTGAGGTGGATGTGAATCATATGGATGGATGTGCCAAGATAGATGTATCATATAGATGGATGGGCCAAGGTAGATGTATATCTTGTAGATGGGTGGGCTGAGGAAGATGCATATCATATGGATGGATGGGCTAAGGTAGATGAATCTCATATGTATGGATGGGCCAAAGTGGATGTATATCGTATATAGGTGGGCCAAGGTAAGACATATATCATATAGACGAATGGGCCGAGATAGATGGATCTCATATGTATATAAGATGAACGGGTGGGCCGAGGTGAATGAATATTGTATACACCGGTAGGCCGAGGTGGATGTGTAAAGTATATATGGGTGGGCCAAGATGAATGAATTCTGTGAGGATGGATGGGTTGAAGTAGCAATAAATCAGACAGATCAGTTAGGTGATGTAGGTGCATCAATGATTATCAAGGATGGAGGATTGAATAGCAAGAATCATCAGATAAATGAGTATTGAGTATGGCAAACGGAGCACCAAGTACCAAGTACTAAGTACCAAGGATCAGGGATGGCGAACCAGGCAGTGAGGATCAAGTACCGAGGGTTGAGTACCAAGAACTGAGTACCAAGTACCAAGGATCTAGGGTGGCGAACCACAAATCAAGTATTGAGTACCGAGAACTGAAGACCGAGTGCTCAGGTTTGGGGATGGCAAACCTGGCACCAAGGATCAAGTACTGAGGATCAAGGACTGAGAACTGGCAAACCTGGCACCGAGAACTGAGTACCAAGGATCGGGGATGGTGAACCATGACCCGAGTATCGAGGACCAAGAACTGAGAACTGAGTACCGAGGATTGGGGATGGTGAACTGCAACCCGGGTGTCGAATACCGAGAACTGAATACCGAGTACTGAGGGTTGGGGATGGTGACCCAGACACCAAGTATCGAGTACCGAGTACTGAGAACTAAGTGCTGACTGCCGAGTAGACTGAATACAGAGAGCTGGGCACTGGGTGATAAATATCATGTATCGAACACCAAGGGACATACATAGTACCAAGGTTAAACAAGTTCAAAAATCAAACAATCATGTCCACAAAACTCACAGTTTCAGTTCCATTGCATGTGAGATCCAGCCAACAAAGACTTGATAGCACAGATGCACTCATCAGAGTGAGGTTCTTTGAACAATTGAGAATGTCAAAGGTGTCTGTCATGATTTGAAGAGCAAGTTGTATGAGTGAGTCTGAGTTTGTGTTTAAACGTAGCAAGGAATGGGAAAGTGTTAGTTAGTATGAGTTTGGTGCATCACTGAGTACTGATCAGTAATAAAGTAATTGTTGAACTTCTGCATCATATTGGCCACTGCACACCTGCACATGTAAACCTGAACCACTAATAATAGTCCTACCTATCTCGCTGATGCTAACATATTCACTTTTATTGCCGCTCAAGTACAATGAGCTCTTGGATTGCATGTCATCATTCACCCTCTTCATGCCATGTATAATCAAACAATAGAATTGTCCACAGAGTACTCTACTAAATAATACAGGCTTGTAAATGGTCAGCTCCATCACAAAGTGCATCATCCTCATCAGCCTCAATACTCCTAGCACCCCTTAAATCTTCCATCATCTCATCTGTGTCCCCACCTCTATCATTATCAACACCTTTTGTCTCCATGCCCCTCGATCCAGAGTAACCAGAGAGTTCATAAATAGCATGAATTCTGCTGTGATGCACATCATTCACTCATCTGTGCTCATCATAAATGCAAGAGATCTTGTGTGAGAGTGTCGGATCTGATTTGAATAATGATTTGAATGTTGCTTTCAAGTAGGCATCTTTGTGATCTACCAAAGTGGATAGTTGTGCAACTTCAACATTGAGACATTGAACTTCTTCATCAGCACATTGAATCTTGAAGAAATTGTTCACAACCTCGCAATTTCCTTTGGATGCCCACAGCTTCTCAAGTATACAATGCCGTGAATGCTTAAGAAGGTCAAACTTGCCTAGCCAAGCATATGATGCAACTTTGCTGAATTCTAAGACTTCTCAACAGCATGAATAAATTGCTGGTTGGTAAGATATGCTAAACCCTCCTGATATTTTGTGTCATGTGGCTGTGTCATATACCTGATCCGACCGCTTGCAATATTGATATCCGCTCCGCTATCTGACCTCCTCTGCTCCATCCATCCTCCGCTCTGTCCAACCACAAGTCTGCATTCCGCCTCTACACTTCCGCTCAACCGCTCAACTGGTCCCCTTCCATAACCTCTCCATTCAACTGGATCTCTTTCCCCTCTTAGATATATACTTTCCCCTTCGGTACATAGACCCTTACTTCCGGATCACCAGTAATTTCTATTACCGCCCAATCACTGATCCGACGTGTACATATTGATATCCGCTCCGACTTATGTCTTTGCCTGTGTAAAGCACTTACAAACTATATCCTTGGTACATAGCTTTACAACATAGTTATCCTGGTCACTGCCTCATACATAGAAGTATATAGCATATCCTGTACTTAGATATTTTCCTTAGTCTTAATATTACTTGTCTTCTCGCAGTTATATCCTGTGAGAATTCTCAGTAGGACCTTGCCTCCTCTGGACACAAGTCTCAACTTGTTGTCACCTCCAACCCTCCAACCCTCCACTCCGACTTAGAGCCGTGCTCTGAGTCTTCCCCTTATACTCTGCCCCTATCAAATATTCTCCCTTGTCCCTCCATATTATCCTCCGCCTTCCCTGCCCCTACCAACATTCCCCTGCTCCTATCCACTCTCCGCATCACTCCCTGCCTTCTCCACTCTGCTCCTAGTCGGCCCGCCGCTAGTAGCTCTTATTCCCCGACCCTCAAAGCAGACCCAAGCGGACCATTTGTCCTACTGTTGGACAACGTCGGACCCGCTACAAATTCGGGGCACGTACTCGGCCAAGGGCGCAGCACAAGAGCTGAAGCCAAGCCCCGACCCCTCTGCTTCCTGAGTCGGCACGGTACCTAACAGGCTGCCATCTTGCTGTAACTCCCATGCAGTGCTCAATATTATCAACAATGTTCATTTCAAGAACCAACTTATGATGAGCTGCATGGCATTCAGCTTCTTGAGCTCTTGCAGAGGCTTGTTGGTTTTTTTGGAGACCATGAGAGGGGGCAAAATATGCAGGAGTATAAGTCAGAAATTGTACCATTGTAGCACTACCATATGGAGCTCTGAAATAACAGAGGCATCAGCACAATTTGAAATTTTACTGATGTGACTTACTTGGTGTTGGTAAGCAATTCTAATGCCTCTACATATGTCATAGCCTCAATGTCCTCCTTCGTTTCCTCTGTCAGGGTCTTCAGAAATTCTAGCTCTTCCATATTCCAGCTCTTGAAGTGCCCATCCAAAATCTTCAGTGCTAACTTTAATTCCTTGACTGCAGGACTTAGGTGTCATATACCTGATCCGACCGCCCTAATATCAATATCCGCTCTGCTTTCTGACCCCCTCCGCTCCATTCATCCTCCGCTCTGCCCGATCATTGTTTGTATCCACTCCGCTCTACTGCTCAACTGGTCCCCTCCCATAACATCTCCATTCAACTGGACCTCTTTCCCCTTTTAGATATATGCTTTCCTTTTCGGTACTTAGACCATTACTTCCAGATCACCGGTAATTCCTATTACCGCTTGATCACTGATCTGACGCGTACATATTGATATCCACCCCGACTTATGTCTTTCCTATGTAAAGTACTTACAAATGATATCCTTGGTACATAGCTTTACTACATAGTTATCCTGGTCACTGCCTCATACATAGAAGTATATAACATATCATGTACTTAGATATTTTTCCTCAGTCTTAATATTACTTGTCTTCTCACAGTTATATCCTGTGAGGATTCTCGGTAGGACCTTGCCTCCTCTGGACACAAGTCTCAACTTGTTGTCACCTCCGACCCTTCGACCCTCCACTCCAACTTAGAGCCGTGCTCTAAGTCTGTCCCTTATTACCCCGCCCCTATCAATACCCTCCTATCACCCCTTTCCCTATCCTCTGCAATATCCTCCAACATCTCCACTCCTATCAAATATCTCCCTAGTTCCTATCCACCCTCTGCATCGTTCCCCGCCTTCTCCGCTCCACTCCTAGTCGGTCTGCCGTTAGCAGCTCTTACTCCCCGACCCCCAAAGCGGACCCAAGCGGTCCATTCGTCCTATCGTTGGACAATGTCGGACCCACTCCAAATTCGGGGCACGTACTCGGCTAAGGGCGCAGCACAAGAGCTGAAGCCAAGCCCCGACCCCTCTGCCTCTTGAGCTGGCACAGTACCTAACATTATGTCATCAATGATCACAAGCGCCTGCTTGTAGTTGTTATACAAAAATTTACCTAGAATTGCATCAATGTTAGGTACTGTGCCGACTCAGGAGGCAGAGGGGTCAGGGCTTGGCTTCAGCTCTTGTGCTGCACCCTTAGCCGAGTACGTGCCCCAAATTTGGAGCAGGTCCGACAATAGGATGAGTGGACCGCTTTGGTCCACTTTGAGGGTCGGGAAGTAAGAGCTACTAGCGGCAAGCCAACTAGGAGCGGAGCGGAGAAGGTGGGGAGTGATGTGGAGGGTGGATAGGAGCAGGGGGAAGGTTTGGTAGGAGCGGGGAAGGCGGAGGATAATGCGGAGGCTGGGAAAAGGGACAAGGGGAATGTTGATAGGGGCGGAGGAATAAGAGGGACACTTAGAGCACAGCTCTAAGTCGGAGCAGAGGGTCGGAGGGTCAGAGGTGACAACAAGTTGAGACTTGTGTCTTGAATATATGAACTTTGTTAGGAGGAATCAAATAGGATGTTTTGAAGACATCATTATCAGTGTGTCCAGAGCCATCGACCCATTTCAATGAGCTGTTGCCATCCATACTGTCCATCCTCACAGGGATCAATGTCAGTTCATTCTCTTGCTGTAGCATGGTTCATTTTCTCTTCATCATATAATAATAAATGTACCTTGTAATTACATGCAGGGCATGAGTGAAGCATGCACCAATGAGGGCCATCATGTTTCAATGCAATGTTGGCTAATTCTTGAACATGTTGTAAGATATCAAGATACACATCAAAAGCAATTGTGAATTGATCCTGCAGCACTTGAAAATATGAGCACTAGAATGTGATATTATAAATACAATACATTTAGGTACATGATACAAAAAATGTACGTTGTGAAGGGCACAGAGTACTTTGACCATGGCTTGTACACTAAAGGATGGTTTGTGCCAGCAGATCTGATGATAGGACTCGAGGCATTGAAGGGACACGGCAATCTTAGGCAGAATGGGGGAACACTGTTAGGAACCGTGCTCGGGCTGAGAAGCGGAGGGGTCAGGGCTTGGCTTCAGTTCTTGCACTACACCATTAGCTGAGTATGTGCCCCAAATTTGGAGCAGGTCTGACAATGTCCAATGATAGGACGGGCAGACCACTTTGGTCCATGTTGCAAGTCGGGAGGTAAATGCTACTAGTGGTCATCCAACTAGAAGCGGAGGAAGAGTGTTGGGATGGAGGGGAGCAAGTGGATTGATTGGGTGGGTTGGAGAGGTAAGAGTAAATACTTAGAGTGTGTGTCATATACCTGATCTGACCGCTCTAATATCAATATCTGCTCCACTTTCCGATCACCTCCGCTCCATCCATCCTCCGCTCCGTCCAATCACAAGTCCGCACTCCGCCCCTACGCTTCCGCTCAACCGCTCAACTGGTCCCCTTCCATAAACATCTCCGTTCAACTGGACATCTTTCCCCTTTTAGATATATACTTTCCCCTTCAGTACATAGACCCTTACTTCTGGATCACCAGTAATTCCTATTACTGCTTGATCACTGATCCAACGTGTACATATTGATATCCGCTCTGACTTATGTCTTCACCTGTGTAAGTACTTACAAATTATATCCTTGGTACATAGCTTTACAACATAGTTATCCTGGTCACTGCCTCATACATAGAAGTATATAACATATCATGTACTTAGATATTTTCCCCAGTCTTAATATTACTTGTCTTCTCGCAGTTACCTCTTGTGAGAATTCTCAGTAGGACCTTGCCTCCTCTGGACACAAGTTTCACCTTGTTGTCACCTCCGACCCTCCAACCCTCCACTCCAACTTAGAGCCATGCTCTAAGTGTCCCTCTTATTTCTCCGCCCCTATCAATATCTTCTTTGCCCCTTTTCCCATCCTCCTCATTATCCTCCGCCTTCTCCGCTCCGATCCTAGTCAGCGCGCCACTTGTAAGCAGTTCACTCGCCCTATCGTCGGACAATGTCGGACCCACTCCAAATTCGGGGCATGTACTCTGCTAAGGGCGCAGCACAAGAGCTGAAGCCAAGCCCCGACCCCTCTGCCTCTTGAGCCAGCACGGTACCTAATAGTGTGGCTCTAAGTTGGAGCAGAGGGTTGGAGGTGATGACAAGGTAAATTTGTGTCTGGAGAGAAAGCAAGTCCTTCCGAGAATTCCCACTAGTAGAGACTGTGGGAAGACAAGTAATATTAAGACTGAGGAGTAGCTAAGTACATGGTATGTCTATATATACTTCTATGTATGATGCAGTGATTTAGTAGTCTTTGGTATGAGGCTATGTACTGAGCATAATTTGTAAGTAGACACAGGTGAAAAACATAAGTCAGAGCGGATATCAATATGTACGTGTTGGATCAGTTAATTGAGCAATTATAGGAAATACCGGTGATCCAGGAAGTAAGTTCTATGTGCCAATGGGTAAAGTATATACCTAAATGTTATTTGTGGTGATTGAGCACCCTATGGTGCAAGTTTTTTGTGTTATGATGTTGATCACTCTATTGGACTCTCACTTAGCATGTGAATACTTACTTAGGTAGTGTTTACACTTGCTTACATAGACTCGCCCATAGGTAGCAAGTCCTGTGTTGCTTGCTCTTTAGCAACTGACACTGGACTATAGTCCTGTTCACACTCATTAGCTCACTTGTGGCTTGGTCCTCACAGTTATTCTAACACTAAATGGGGCAAAAAGGTCAT